ACTGAGGCTGGGCGATCAGCTGTATTAAATAAGTTCATTTGTATGTTTTTGATCTGCATGAACAGACATCTTTTTCAGAGACGTATTGTTACACCAACGTTCATGTGTGTGGTTTTGCGTGAGGAATTCGCCTAGATGTTTAGATGTGCGTTCCCGATGGGCTTTGGTGTTAATCACTGGAACAGATGGTTCATGTTTAAAACCCTGTGTAAGCTGTAATGACTCAAGAGTGTCGGTTATCATCTGTCCTACAGAGCCAAGCCTCCACAGCCTCATCACACATCCCTCCTGATAGCCTCCACATTCACCACTGCTCACAGGCACCATTGACGTCAGACCGGACTTACGTTACCCATTTGAACTAAATTCAAATACTTTCCCAGGGAATGATTGCCTTTAGTAGGATGGACTCTATTTCTGTTGGAAAATTGCCTTCACACAGAGAAAAAGGCTACTTTTCCTGATACTACTGTTGTAACAGTGTAAACTGTTTGTTTTATTCAACTGATATAGGAATTCAGTACTAAAACTACCCCAGCATGTATATTTACAAAAACACTTGGAGGAAACACTGTGTGCAGTTTGTTCTGGCAAGCACAAACCCGGCCCACATCCACCACATCTTGAAATAACTGAAATGTTTTTCAAAATAATTTAGATAGCTCTGACTGGTATCTCTGGCGATGTGCTCTTGGATCTGTCTATGTTGTTCACTAGAGAGGTTCAATGAGCAGTTGCTGCTTCAGGTTAACCCACAGTTATGAGACTTTATTACCACATTGTTATCGTGTGTGTGTGTGTATAAGTTAGCACGTCGCTAAGGCATGGTGGTAATAAATGGGTGATGACTGCAGTGAGCAGCTGAAAGCTTCTGAACAGTAAAACAACTTCCTTCTCTGTGATTACTGTGTGGGTGAACGGTAAACAGAGTAGATGTGTTACTACAGGTCAAGCTGTTCATTGAGGTTTGCATTAAAGTCAATGGCGACAGTAGTGGGTGCTAACAGTGTTATGTTAGCAGTGTTACGGTTGACTTGGAAGTGTAAGAGTTAATTTAAGAACAAAGTTTGCTCTGTGAATAGCATTCCTTTGTATTTCTACCACTCCTAGCTCGACTGTAATAGTGGTTCTCTTCTTTGACCCGCTTCATTCTCCTAACCCTGCTATTAGTGACTTTGTCGCAGCCAGTCATGACTTGAGAAAGAGGGGTAGTCTAGCCAGTTTGGACACATTCTGCGGCCCGTCTGTTCGCATGTACTCATGACACTTGGTTTGTCAGCTTTTTGCAGTAGCCTGATTCCTTGAACTTTGTGTCCATAAGAATCTCAGTTTTCCTAATATGGGTAAAGGATTTGGAGAAACTTGATTGATACATTTCTACTGGGAGGCCTGATCTTGGTCATGGAGCTTATATTGTAGGTTTTTGTTTTTAATTAGCGGTGCACCCTTTAATCCAAAATATTTTTTCTATTTATTTGTAATGCTGAAACTGAAATATAAATAAGTATAAATCAGATGGTTTGCAATGTCATACATAACTAATACAGTTAAAATAAGTCAGCCTTGGTTCAAAATATGGTCGGGGGTAGGGGAAGAGAACTCATTACTGATGAGTTACATGTTGGGTTTTAGAGTAATTGCAGCACATGTGAACATGCTCTATTTCCTGCCCGAACCAGATTTATCCCATAACCAGATTAATAAATGAATTGTCTGTCTGCTGTGCGTCATATACTCCAAGGCGTGCTCAGAGATGCTATCGTTATATTAATGTAATGACACATACGTTTAAAACCAGTTCTGCTGTCTTGTCTCAGCCTACGCTCTGACATGGCTTACAATGGGTAAATAAAGTCGGGGTTCAGTGTGTTCTCACTCACTGCCATCGGCACTAGGTATGAATTTTTCCAGTGTGCTGTGTGTAATCAGCTGGTCTTTAGCTGGTGTGTTGACTGTTGTCAAAAGCAAAATTTGCAAGATCTGAACTGGAGCCAATCAAGTCAATTTTTTAATTGAGTGGTATCATCTTTATAAAGCCTGATCCAATTGAGATCTTTTGTCCATTGTAACCCATCATGCTCTGCGTACACCATGGAGCACCATGAACAAAAGTGGTTTGAATAGAGATATCCACACTGACATGGACTGTCACTACCAATGTCACACTAAAGCCATTAATAACAGAAATTGAAAGTATGTTTTTGTGGACAATATCATATCTGTATAATACTTTTATTATAGTTTACAGAATTCAGCTAACATGACTAAATATAACACAAATTAACCTTTAATTTGCCTCGTCCGTGAACATAATTTCTGCCTGAGTCACGTTCGATAGATTTTCATTGGCAATGGCAGTTGTTTAACAATGAAGACCGCAACTCCCATTATCCCACTCTTCTTCACAACATCATCAAACTACATCTTTCATTTTTGTTTTGATGTGAGAGACCCCATAGCGGCAGAAATGACATATTATATGTTCAATCAGTGCCTTCAAATAATATAATAATAATAAAGTAGATATATTTGGTATTTAGTCTTTGTCTGCATACTAAAAGATTTTTCTTTGTAGTACTTTTATTACAGTGTGTTAAGTTAATTAGAGTTCAGAACATTTACATGCATTTACCTAAGAGAGGAAAACTATATGTCTATTCTTTTTCATAACATGATGCACCTTCCTATGCAGATTTTTCCTACATTCAGGATACCTGCGTCATGCTGTACCATGTACTGCTGGCCCACTGCCATAATCTGAGCAGTTGGTGTCCTCCTTTTGCTACTGATACTTGGAGTGAGCAGATACTCAATATTAAATGACCCAGATTGGGGGTGGAAACAAAAGAAAACTTCATCAGTACATCACAGTCATGAGGCATGCATGTACACTTTGGCAGGAGCTCAGCACTGCCTCTAGATTTGTATGGGATGATAAAACTGATGTTGATCAAAACATGTACTGACTTTAGTAAAATGGTAATGGCAACCGGTGTTCAGTTGTCCTTTCTCCTGAATTTTCTGATGCATGTTTCTACTAATAGATTTTGGAATTGCATGTTAGTAGAGCCACAGGTTGCACTTATTCACAAATGTCTGTTGTACTGACCATATTCCTAAACAGTGGTTTGCTTGGCATTGATTCTCAATATAGTCTCCCTGTGCGTTTGTGGTAATTCTTTACATTGTTTGTTGGCTGGCCCATGTTTCTTAATGCAACACAGTTGGCCAGTCTAATGTATGTCATCCGATTGTCCATAGCTGGCCGGGCCAAAGAGAACAATGTCTCAGTGTCCTGAGGAAGCTCGGCCTGTCCCTATCTGGCTCCTTTAGTGGAGCTGCTTATCTAAGGAACTCTAGTATGAATGTAGGTCAGCCTAAGATCATCGCTGCTGATCATCATGTCAAGTGACTCTATCTGATGGCTCCACGGTCAGAGTGTGATGTTTAATACAGTGTGTGACTCTGAGAGGTTTTCACATTCAACCACCTTTTGTGTAGATAACTGCATTTTTCACGTTACCTCATGACACTGGATATACTGTATTATAGTACTTTGCTAAGGTTTGCATGGCCTAGTTTTTTTAGTCCAGCTTGCCCCTGTAGTGGTGAAACTGTTTGTAAATGAACTCAAAGCTAGTTTGGCGGTTCTGTACTGCAGTGTCTTCATTGCGTGCTTTTGATGTCATGGGTAACCATTAAGAAGCTGCATGGGAACAGTTTATTTTGTGCTATGTAATGTGAAAGCATCAGCAGACATGATGGAGGTCACTTCCAGTTTAAAAAACCCTCAGCTTACATTGAGCTGACCTAAGTGAGTTTTAGTCCTGTTGTCTATGCTCATGCCATGTGTTGAGAGGCTGAAAGTAACACTTAAGTTTTTTATAATTGCATCTGTAGCATTGGTGTAGTATGGGACTGAGGAAAAAACAGAGCTACTATAGTAACCTATGTGGAAAACTGTCTGGGACACAGAGTTGCTAGCTGGAAACGAGAGCTTGGTTTCCTGCACTGACAATAACAGGAAAGCCATAGGATGTGATACACGAGTACTCTCTCACTCTCTCACACACACACACACACACACACACACACACACACACACACACACACACACACACACACACACACACACACACACACATACCTCTGAAGTCTTACAATACAGCACACCACACAGTGTGAGTCTTTTTAAATAATCTTTTCCTGTGCTGACATCTAAAGTGTAGAATAGGGTTTTATCTGCTCTGTGTATGATGTCATTGTACAGTACAATTGTTTAATCATCTAATTTAGTCTTTAGTATTGGAGTGCTGCTGATTTATTGTTGTTTTTCCTTCACAATGGAGTGAGCAGTTGAACCCAAACTGTTTTATGTGGGGAATTTATGATGGGGCTGGGAAGAACATTAGAGTTTGAATCCGTTTACTGGGTACACACAATATCACCAGCCACGTTTGTTTAAAACCGAACCCATAAAGGTATATGAAATAAAATGTCTTTAAATGCAAGACCTGTGTTATATATTTTGTTGAGTTGAGTAACCAAATATTTCCAGCAATTTTATTCAAGGTTTCCTATTTGCCTCTAGTTGCTGTAACTTCCAGGGAAACTACAACAGGAGTTCAGCTAACATGACTAAAGATGAATGAACATTTACATTACCTCGTCCGTGAACATGACTTCTACCTGCGTCATGTTAGATAGACCTCATCTAACTACAGATTTTATTATTGTTTTGATGTAAGAGACCCCCTAGCGACAGAAATTACATATTTTACATAAAATCAGTGCTTTAAAACATGAATACACTAGATTTATATATGTCTAGTCAATATATATATATATATATATATATATATATGTCTCCGTCAATGATAGAAACTGTACATTTCTTGATCAATCAGGCATTATGGATAGTTTTTCCAATGATTTTCAAGCTGGTTAAAGTATAAGCTTAAGTACAGAGAGTTTTTAACTTGTGTTTGTTTGTGTTTCAGGCCAGTCTGTCCATCTGGGGATGGGGGGGTCTTGGAGTCGTGCTGTTCCTTGTCACCTTTGGACCCTTTGCCATATTCTACCTGGCCTTTTATATCTTTTGCTTCATTGGAGGGTGAGCAGGAAGCCCTTCATATTGTCTTTACACACTCTTTCACATCTCTGTGTAGGAGCCTGACAGATCCGTTTTGGTTGTTCTCTCATTCTCACTTCTGTTTTCCAGGGGGTTTGCGGTCACTCTGCTCTATGGAAAGATCAATTCAGAGAAACACCTGGAAAAGTGCGAGCACTCTTACTTGCCACCCACACAAATTGGTATACTGAAGGTAAAAGCACTCTTAAACACACACACACACACACACACACACACACACACACATTTTGACCTCGCCTACGCAAACAAATTAATTAGTTGTTAATAAAAGTTCTTTTGTTGGTGAAGCCCGCTTGCCAGTTAGCCTGCAGATTATTCAAGTTTTCATTGATTTGATTGCTCACGATTCTCTCTCTGTTTTTCTGTATTTCTTTTTGTCTCCTTCAGACATTGGATGAGATGAAGTTGGAGTTGAAGTCTATAAAGATTGACAGGAGACTGACTGGCTCCAGTTTCATAGATGAACCACTACAACAGGTGTGTGTGTGTGTGTGCCTGTGTTTTATGTATGTGACTTCCTGTGCATTTGGCACCTGTGTCAGCGTTTGCACCTTTGACATTCAAGTCAGGGGAACACAGAATTTTCATGACAAGCGATTTAAAAAAAAAAAAAAAAAAGAAGGGAAAACACTCTTGATCAATGTTCTGTCTTATAATTTTATACATTCCCTTTTTAGTATTTCTTGTCCCTTTTGTATGCTATCACCAGCTCAGCAAAAACTAATTTACACTCAGTTGCCAGTTTAATCTAATACAACAGTCCTGCAATAAATCATCCCTTTATGAAGGTCATGATGTTCCCTTTTTGTGTTTAAACTGTTTAGAGGAGGTGTTAATGATCATTTTGGGGGCTGCAGGCTGTGGTGCTGTTGAACTGTATGAGCTGTATGGGATCAACTGTGAAAGGTAGTCTTTACTTTTGCTTTGAGGTTCCCACTTTACACTAGACATACCTATGAAGTGCCATAGCTGAGTGATTGCTCATAAAAAGCATTGCTCTGGTGGTAATGGGACAACAGCTCAGGAGAAGCCAACAGAAGATAACAGGATTATGACAAATACTAACTCTCCAGACTTTTTGGACACTGGCCCACTTATGTCACTGTCTGGCCCATCAGCTGGTCCAGGTCAGAAAACTCCAAGGCCTCAAGCGGTAAAGTAGTCATCACTGTCAAACACTGCATGACCCATTAAAGCCTCAGTGTCTCACATACACAGGAAGTTGGGTCCTTGTGTTTTGGGTCACTGGATCAGTCTTGAGCAGGATGTCTGTCAGCTGATAAATGTGGCAAACAATGCATTTTGTCCCACAAATGAAAATAGAATCAACCAAAAACTGGAAAAATATGACAATAATAACTAAATGAGATAATAGCCTAATTATAATACTGACAAAATATGTTGCCGGCACACACATAGAAAAATTCTCCATCTTGACTAAGTACTGAATGAATTTCAGTTCTGCTTCAATCACTTCTGTCACCTATTACTGGTACGTCATCTTCACATAGATTGTTTCACGTTGGTTAATTTCTTATTTTTGTCCTCATGCTGGTATATGATCTCTGTAAGAAGTACTACTTTCTCTCTAGACATAAAAGAACTGGTTGTTCATTTTACATTTTCATGTTTTGCACTACATACAGGTTTGTATTTATGACCAGCGCAGGTCTCTAAAAAAATACATATTAATTTCTATTAATTGAATAGTTAAGTAATGTAGAATTTTTTTTTTAAGTCATGTAAGAAGATAATGTGCTTATGTGGCCTTCTGAAATCTTATCCGACACACTGCCCAGAAGATAACTTGTCTGTCCTAATAGAAAGTGGAACTGAAAGTTTCTGTACTGTTAAACTGTCAGTGTCTCACCAACACTCTTTTCATCATGTGGCTTTAAATAAAAGGAGAAGACTGCTGTAGTGCTGAAATGTAATATTGTCACTTTCTGGCTGCTGGTAATTGACTCATCTTTTCAGCTTAACACATTTGTAAATAAATCATCTAAATGATGGTTAGGCTGGCCATCAGCATTTCAAACAGGGAGGGTGAGCTTAGTGGCTTTTGTTTGCTGGTCACAGTTTTTCTTTCCACCCTGTCCTGTGGTTACAACACTTACAAGCTTTTAGCATGTTGTCCTCAGTAACGCAGCGTGGCCGGCAGAGTTAAGTGCAGACACAGCAGTTTGCGATGGTCAGATGACACTGGCTGCTTTACTGTGGTGCTTCTGTTCACCCATCCTCCCTGGTAAACGCACACTAATCATTTTAGCTGCATGAACCTTGAGATCTTGCACGGCTAAAGTGACATCATGTAAACTTGCGCCATGTTCTCTGAAAGACATTTGTGGTCTTGATTTTTCTGGCACTTTCTCTTTGTTTCTTGTCTTACATGTCCTTAATTTAAAAAACAAAAACAAAATCCTCCCTCTGCAGCTCATACAGTGTCAGCATCAGTGTTGGGCAACTTACTGAAAAATTAGTAATTACTTCCAGTTAGTAGTTACATCTTTCAAAAAACTGTTTCAAGTCTCTTATTAAATATTGTCGGCTATATTATTTTTAGCGTTGCTGTGGGACACGGCTAATTTATTTCGTTATTAATACTCCGGACCACCGGGGGGCAGCAACAACTAGCATTCCCACCTGCTACACTTCTTGTCTTGGTTGAGAAGGGTTGAGAAGGGTCCAGCTGTGGCCTTACAGACGCTACAAAACCACACCCATTAACATCATTTGTTAGCAGTGAAGGCAGTAAAGCAGCCTCGCCTCCTCCAAAACCTGCCCACGTTTACGCAAGGTTTCGGGGGCTGAGGAATAACATTAAAAATGAATCGAAAATGTTCTTAAAGACAGCAATTTAGCAAGTATTAAGCAAAGAAATAAGGACAACCTATGTGTTTGAGCCTCAACAATATATGACTTTCAGCTCAAATAATGTGGTCTAATCAATGAATGCAAACAAAAGATAACTGAGGTAGACAAAATTATTAGAAAAAATAAAAAAAAAAGGTAACAACAAACGTTGGTATTTTACCAACTATTAAGCAGATATAATGAGGATAAACTATCTCACCACTCCTCATGCCTAAACCTAACCAACTAGCCAATCAAAGACAGAGTAGGACGGATCTTCGCGGAACACAGGTGGGAAGAAGTTTTCAGGTGTAGTTGGTCTTAGTTAGTAGACAGGAGCTTTGCTACAGTATTTAGTTAATAAATAATCATATTTGATGACAAAGCAACATATCAACATATTAATCAACATACTTTATGAACAAAGCAAGTTCACATTCCCTAAATTGGAATTACAGTAATGCGTTACTTCTATCACTGATCGGCATACTGACAGTAACACTGATTTATGTACTGGCTTGATTTAATCCTACTTCTCAGCTGTATGCAACAGAGCACCACTAAATGATTGATTTACCCAGGTTTCCTAGGGCCTAATAGCCAAGTAATCCATTCTCTGGATGTTTATACTAGACACTAACAATCAACAGATTCAGTTGTGTTTCAGAGAAGACTTATTGGCCCATCTCACATTCATTTTGTGTAGCATTTAATTAACTCGTCTGTTTACTGTCCACCCCGCTCAGTTCAGCTCATTGGGGCTGTCTTTATTATATATATATATATATTTTTTTATCTCTGTAGGTAATCCAGTTTGCTCTGAGAGACTACATCCAATACTGGTACTACACTCTGAGCGAGGATGAGTCCTTCTTATTGGAGATCAGACAGACGCTGCAGAATGCCCTCGTCCAGTTCTCTACAAGGTGCAAGGCACATAGACGCACATGCATTTTCTGTCTTAATATTAAATGTGTTCTAAATGTTGGTTTACTTTCATTTTTCAGTCGTCTTCATTATTTGTGTGTGTGTTTGTGCTTATGTGTCAAGGTCCAAAGAGGTGGACTGGCAGCCTTACTTTACCACTCGCCTGGTGGACGACTTTGCCACCCATTTACGTGTCTTTAGAAAAGCCCAAGATCGCCTCGCGGACAGAGAGGACAAACAAAGTAAGCAGACACATTCATACACACTTGCTTTCTAATCATTAGTATGTTTGGCATTTCTCCTAAGTTGGTTCAGCTTGTCTTTAACAATGACAGTGATTATGTAGTTTGGTGACCATGGGGGAAGATAGGATTACAATTGTGGTGCAAAATTCTTTGATAAAGTTTTTTTTAGTCAGATGATGAGAATTTTGACGTTAGTGGTGATGGTGACAATGAAAAAGAGTGTCTGAATGTCTGAACAGGGGACATAACAGAGGAGCTGGTGGACTCCTTCTTTGAGGCCGAGGTGGAGATGGAGAGGAAGATTTGTCGAGATGTAGTGTGCACTTCAAACAAGGATGAAGAAGGTAAACACTTCTGCAATGCGTCAAGCCGTACATTGCACACTGTCATGAAGAACTTTTCCCACAAACGTGTTGCCGTTTGATGCTGCAGCTTGTAAAAACTAAACGTGTGTGTGTGTGTGTGTGTGTGTGTGTGTGTGTGTGTGTGTGTGTGTGTGTGTGTGTGTGTGTGTGTGTGTGTGTGTGTGTGTGTGTGTGTGTGTGTGTGTGTGTGTGTGTGTGTGTGTGTGTGTGTGTGTGTCAGGTTTTCTTCGGGACTTGTGTGAGCTACTTCTGTATTTGTTACTACCTCCTGGAGATTTCCACAACAAGAATATGAGATACTTCCTAAGGGTGAGTACATATAAGGATAAACACAAAATCTCACTCTCACTTAGCACAGTGTGTTGGTCTGAAATGGAAATCTGAGGTGTAAAATTACAGATTCAGTTACACAATATGTCATACAACCTGTGTTGTTAATTTATCATGCTCGAGCCACTGCTGCCACTTTGGCTTTCCAAAAACACAGAGCTCCTCTGACTATGGTGCAGTATCAGACCATGTGATGGCATGTTTTTAGTATAAATTATTATGAGCTTACCTGAAAATGCACTGAATTTTTTTTTTCTCTTTTCTTTTAGGAGGTGCTGGCACGTGGTGTGCTACTTCCTCTGATTAACCAGCTGAGCGACCCAGACTACATCAACCAGTTTGTCATCTGGATGGTGAGAGCTGAATCCTACCTATTAGCCATTATTTGAACTGCTTTTGTATAAAATAAAACTATCCACAATACAATCAAGAAAGCAAATGAAACAGCACTGGGACCTGGTATCTATGTTTTAGATGTGTAAATGTGTGATATTTGTATAGATACGGGACTCCAGCTGTAACTATGAAGCCTTCATGAACATCCTGAAGCTGACAGACAAGCCTACTGAGTTGGAGGCTGTCAAGGACAAGGTGCTGGAGGAGCTACAGTACCTCCGCTCCCTGGACACCGCAGGAGATGGTGGGCACTCACTTTTTCTCTGACATACAGACCAGACACACATACGACTGATGTCTGGTTTTAATAAAAAGGCACGAAGCTCAACATTTTGCTTTCTTTCCTCCCTTGCTGTCTTTGTTTCTCTGTCCTTTAGACATTAATGTGATCAAGAACCAGATTAACAGTCTTCTGTTTGTGAAGAAGGTGTGTGAGACCAGGATCCAGAGACTACAGTCTGGCAAGGTGAGAAACTGCAGCACAACCTTATAGTGCTTACACTTGATGATCCATTAAAATCATACATTGCTATTTGTTAGTGGTAAAATGGATGGAAATATCAGCTGGAATTGCTCAAAGTGAGTTTGATAGTCAAGTTTTATCTTTTGGGCTAGTTTAAGATACAGTTTATCTGCGTTCCAGACTTTGCTTATCCCTTTCCTGTGTTGTGTAGGAGGTGGATGCCTTGAAGCTGGCAGCAAACTTTGGCAAGCTGTGTGTTATCCCACTGGATCACATCCTCATCCACAACATAGCCCTGCATTTTTTCATGGGTAATTCTGGATATTCATCATTACATATACAACTGATGCCAAATGTCACTGTAGTCATCTCAAGGCCTTAATCCTGAACATTTCTGTTAATCATCTTTATAATCCATAACTTATTCCATTTCTCTAGAATTTACAACCCCCACCTGTCTTGTTAGGCACTTCTTTTCAGTCCCACATGACCTTGTCAGAGATTTTAAAAGGTCACTCCACTTTACAGATCAGATAACCATAGAGTCTGTGTTTGCATGTGTGTGTTTGCAAACTAGAAGTCAAACCAAGTTGCGTCAGATCTGGTGTGGAAAAAGAGCCAACCTCCTAAATGTTATGGTTGGTTCTGTTATTGTAGCATTTATACTGCATGAAATGTCTACTAGAAAATATATATATGTTTAGATCACCAAAACACAGACATTGTAAACAACCATGATTAAAAGAAAGTGTTGGTCACAGTATATAGCGTGTAACCAGACACCACAAGCAGACAAAAACACAAATGACAAAATTTTAAAGGCACTGGTCCACTCCATGTACAGCATGTGTAACCAAAGTGCCATAATAGACAGTAAACATTTGGACCAACTCTTATGTGTCTGTTGATCCAGACTTCATGCAGGCAGCGGGGGCCCAGGCAGAGCTGTTCTTCTGGCTCACTGTCGAGGGCTACAGGGTGACAGCACAGCAGCAGCTTGAGGCCATGCAGGGTTGGCAGAAGGACGGCAAGAAGCAGCCCAGCGCCACGAAGGGGCTGCTGAAGACTGCTGCACAGGGTGTCTATGACCAATACCTCTCTGACAAGGTAGGAAGCGTGTTAAGTTCACGTGAGTGTTTAAAGAAACCATAAAGAACATAAGCACTAAATAAAAATGTTTTTGTTTTTGTAAATTACATATAAATGCACTGCTCTCTTTAAATTGTGTTTTGTAATATTTTGAGAAAATGTTGTGTATTTGCTCTTCTTTCCTACCCAACAGGCGTCTCCCAGGGTGCAGGTGGATGAGGTGTCTGTAACAAAACTAGGGGAGAAACTACAGAAGGACGACCCCACACCGGAGATATTTGATGAAATCCAGAGAAATGTATGTTTAATCTGTATATGAGGGTCATTTTGTAAACCATGCCAATTGTCCGAGAATTTTTATTGAATTATTTGCACAGCTTTTTGTGTTTACAAAAATACGTTATAAGTTATACTATATTTTCTTTTGATTTTTTTTTTTTTTTGATGTGCTGTGTGGCCACTGTTTTCCTCCTGTTAACAGATTGTCTCACACGTTTTGCTGCAGGTGTATGACATGATGCTACGTGATGAACGCTACTACCCCTCCTTTAAGCAGAGTCCTCTCTACGTCCGCATGCTAGCAGAGCTGGACATGTTGAAAGAGCCGAGTTACCGGGGATCTGATGACGGCGACGGAGAATCCTTCAACGGCTCTCCAACCGGAAGCATAAACCTAGTAAGTCTTCTCTGCGTCCTGTGGCGGGGGCTAGACTGTGTTATTGTTGGCACACTGCGCAGTTAAACGATGACTTTATTTTTGTGATTTCAGTCTTTGGACGACTTGTCCAACTCCTGCCATGATGAATTTATGCACCTACATGCCTTCATCTCCGACACAGGTACACACATACACTCAGGGTCTTAAATGCGCTCCTGTTGTATGCAAGTCTAAAAGCACGATGCATGTGTTTTGATTAAATCGCGGTGGCGCTTTTTGCTGAGAGTGTATGAATTACTATATTGTCTATCGGTTAGCCCCTATTTGTCCCTCCCTGCATGTTTTTTCCTTTAACATTTCACCCCCCCCCATTCATCATGTCTGCTTCGTTGCTTCACACTGTTCCAGTATTCTTTATTTCTTTCATTCCATCACCTTCACTTTTTTTTCTGTTCTGCTTTTTTCCTTCCTCCTCCCTTCTTCTCCTTTCCTCTCATTCTGTCTCCCTTTTATTTCCACACCCTCTGCTCTGCATTCTATCTTTGGCTTGCTCTTCCTCCTCCTGCACATACTTTTTTCTTTTTCCCTTCTTTCTTTTCTGCTTTCACCCACCTCCTCATCCTCCATTCCCATTTTGGATGTATTGCCGGGGCGGAGTAGCTGACACTTGTCTCTCCGGATTCTGGGGTGCTGCAGGGGTTTGCAATGACCACGGTAAGACCTACGCGCTGTACGCCATCACTGTGTTCAGACGCAACCAGGACGGCAGTGAGGACTGCTGGAAGACCTATCGCCGCTACTCGGACTTCCATGACTTCCATATGAGGATCACCGAACAGGTGTGTGGAGCTATGATGTTAGTCAGCAACATGTCTATGATGTAGAAAGTTAACATTAGTGTTGGAGCAACAGCTCATCAAATTCTTCTGTTTTAGTTTGAGAACCTTGCCTCAATCCTCAAGTTGCCAGGAAAAAAGACCTTCAACAACATGGACAGAGATTTCCTGGAGAAGAGAAAAAAAGACCTCAATGCTTACTTACAGGTAACAGTTTTATGTTGACTAGCCAAATGTTTAATGCCTTTATTGCTTTGCATCATTTTGTGGAGTGTGTATCAATAACTTTTGCGTGTGTGTTCCAGTTGCTGCTGAACCCAGAGATGGTAAAGGCCTGTCCAACTCTGATTCCGTATGTCTATGACTTCTTAGAGAACAAAGCCTACAGCAAGGGCAAGGGAGAGTTTGCACGCAAGGTCACTACCTTTTTTCAAAACAAAGAATTGAGTGTTTCATTGTCACTTATTTACTACCAAATAACTGCAAATATATAATGCATATAGTTAAGATTTTGGTATGTGGTACATATGGATGCATACTTTGATTCTAAAGATTCAAGTGGCTGTACTTAGGACTAATTTGTGACTCCTTTTGTTTTATCGACCCATCAGATAGACACATTTGTAAATCCTCTGAGGAGCTCCATGAGAAACGTGTCCAACGCGGTGAAGGCCCTGCCAGACAGTCTGGCTGAGGGCATGACCAAGGTCTCTGATAACATGGGCCGCATGTCAGAGAGACTGGGCCAGGACATTAAACAGTCCATACTCAAGGTAACACCATCACACAGAGCGAGTGCATTGCAGCCTTATCATGGCTCTGTAGCCTCTCTACAACTGTAAATAACCATCAGTCCTCCTCTTTACCTCAATATTCTGACAAGTTCTTCCAACCTCTGACTATCCAGTGTCCTCTTTTTTTTCCTCCCAGGTGCCTCCACTCCTCCCCAAGTCTGACATCGACCCTGAACACTGCCGAGTCTCTGCTCAGCTAGATGACAATGTGAGTCAGTGGACGTGTTGGATGCCGTGTGTTTGCTTAATTTCCTTGTGATTTTATTTATTCATTTTTGTAAATTGGTCATTCGTGTATTTTTTGCTTGTACAGGTGGATGACAATATCCCACTGAGGGTAATGCTGCTGCTGATGGACGAAGTGTTTGACCTCAAGGAGAAAAACCAGTGGCTGCGCAGGAACATTAAGAACCTGCTGCAGCAGCTCATCAGGGCCACATATGGAGACACCATCAACAGGTCAGAGAGTAGACTGAATACAGTTCACAGATCACGGGAAAATACATGCACATTATGTACGTAGCCTAGTTATAAATGACGAGATGGATTTCTGCACCTGACAGAACAATTATCCTAAACTTCAACAAACTTATTAACAATCTGGCAGAACTGCATTCAGTTTAAGAACAATGGTTATTTTCATTAGGATAACTTTATGTCACCCAGGCCTTTAACATGAGCGTAATTCAGTGAATTAACTTTCACGTTCTGGTGACGTGAAAAGAGGCGACTTGATTTGTTAACTGTTTACGCCAAAATACAGTATTTCTGAGAAATATCTCATGACCCAGGATGCACAGACAGGATGTGTGCAAATACTTCAACTGAACATTACCCACATGTTCAGAGCTCCAGGAAATGGCAAAGGGCAGTGAATAGCATTACACAGCACAACCTGAATCATCTTTCCTCTTTCTGTGAAGGAAAATTGTGGATCATGTGGACTACTTGACCTCACCAGAGCAGGTTGCAGACTATGTCAAGAAGTTCAGGTAACCCCTACCATTTTCTTTCAATAATTAAAAGACTGGTCAAAAGAATTTTGAATAACCTTCAGTTGCTCGGTATCCATACAGGGATTCCTACTGGCCCAACGGTATTCTGGCTGAGACGCCGCCCCGCCGGGACAAGAGCATCCGCATGAGGACACGAGTAGCTGCCAAGACCAACCTGCTGGGCATCATGCCAGGTGAAAACACACTTAATCTAGTTGTCACCCAGACCCGTTTTGGGACTTCCTCATCCACTTACTCCTCATGCTTGAGGCCTTCTGTCTTGTACAACTGAAACAGACTGTTGGAAAACTCTTCCGATCAAGCATAAATCCCACGTTTGTGTGGCTTGTCATGGTTTATTTTTGACTGTGGAATGGAGCAGATATTAAATGGGGATCGGGGGCAAACTTGATTGGGACATTTATGCTGTGGTATTGAATTGGTATCAAGAATCGTGGAATTTTACTGGTAAAATAAACGACTACTATTCTGGTATCGTGACATCCCTATTGCCTAGTTGTAGCAGTTTTACCCATGTTTAAAAAACCTGCATATACGCACTGATTTCAGTGTAAAAATACTTAATCCACCACACTGAGGCGAAGAAGATGGCCCATTTAAATACTTACTAGGACAAGAGACTGAAAGATGCCCTTGTAGATCTGGCAACTGTCCTTTTTTCACCATTTTGTAAAGCATGGTGGTATGTTTGGTCACTTTCATTTTCTCCAATTTCCATGCTTCATTCTTTCCCTAATGCCACACCAAAGGGGAAATTAAATGCCCTAAGTGCTCCTCTTGTCAGCCTAAGCACTGCCCTGGTGTGAGCTCAGGGGGAAAAATGAACCCACGTGAAAAAGGTTCCTCTATCCCCCTCCCCCACCACCCCTGTGAGTCTGTGCACCCTCCTGATCTTTCACTATATTTCTTTCCCCATCTCAGATGAGCTGAAGCACATCATCGGAGCGGATACCACAAGAAAGGGCATACTCCGCGTCTTCGACATGTTCCAGTACCAACCCATGAATCGCCGGCTAGTCTACGTTTTCCTGGAGGGCTTCTTGGAGACGATGTTCCCCCAGTACAAATTCCCTGAGCTCTTTGTCAAGCTGCACTCCCGCTCACCACGCATCCACAGATATAGCCAGAAACTCAAATCCTCCTCCCTCAAGAGGTGACAGGAGAGGACAGAGGCAGCGGGACACGGGCCGACTAGACACACACAGACTTGAGAGCTGAGAGTGAGAGTGTGGAGGGCTTGATGTGAATGTTGAGAAGTGTGTGTGTGTGTGTGTGAGTGTGTGAGATTTCTGCCCTTCCACTCCCCTCACACACTCTTTTCAGTGAAAACACTCCAATTACCCAGCTGATCATTTCTGTCGAGACAGAAGTGAAGGATGAACAACGCACACTCTGCCCTCCTCTCACTCTGTGACACACACACATGCGCAAACACAAATCCTGTAATTTGCACCAAGACTGATCGTGGCAGTCTTTTCTTTTAAATACTTTCCTCCTCCTTTTTGGACTTTTTACTTGTGTTTAGCTTTACCCTGGGCCAGTCAATGCTGCGTTCTTGTGGTCCAGAGAGCAGACCACAAATACTGTATTGTTTTTAAACTGCAGGAGTAGATAGCATAGACCCACACCTTGCCTTACCTTCCCGCTTCTGTCTTCTGGCCAGCGCAGTCTTTTACCATCTCAGTGACCTGGCCACTCAGCTGTAGTCAAACTTACCCTCATGCTGTAGGCATTTTATCTGCAAAAGCTGCACACTTGCTAACATGCAAATTATATATTGTTTTCATAGCAACCAAAAATGTCAATAGCACTGGGTTAAAAAGGCGCTGTTTTTAAAATGTGACTGAACAAATGTGGGTCGAAAGGATGATTTAGATTTTTATTGTCCGCAATTTATTTTCTAGCCTCAGTGCTTCTCGTGAGACATGATGAGAATTATTATTTTCTTTCTTTCCAAAGTATTTGCATCATCTGTACCACCCATCATCCTCAAATAATAGGCCACACCCCCTTTAAGGCTACTGTCATAACCCGTGATGACCAAAGCTCATGCTGATCCATACGTGTGTGCACTGGTTTGATGTCGGGATACTCTGTGCTTACTGTGCTTCGATATCGTTAATCATGCGAGGAGAGAGAATGCAAAGATGACCTAAAGGGCGAGACTGTGAGGACACACACCGAAGTGTGTTACAGTTGTGGGAGGCTCAGCTCTGGTTGTCCAAGTGCACCATCAAAGAATGTACTCTCTGGTCCAGTCTGTATTTGGCTCGTGTAGAACTTTGTGGGTGTGTGTGTGTGTGTGTGTGAACGTGTGTGTGTGTGTGTTTAGCACGAAGATGTAACCGTCTTCAGTCAGAAACTGTGCCAGTGTGAGCTAGTAAACCAGCCTTAAAACTACATACAGTATATACTGACCAAGAGACGCTCGCTAGAGGTAGCTCTCCTCCACACGACTGAACATTACAAGGAAATCAAGATAGAGATATGGAGATATATCCCTAATCACTTTTATTCAGAGAAAATGTCTTTAATTTTGTGCAATATCTTTTTTTTTTCTTTAATGCATGTGTATTTTGAATCATAGTATACTGAAAAAAAAAAAGTTATTCATATTGTTTTAATAGTAGAAAACATGAAAGAAGTTTCCCCAGAAATGTCTTCTTATCCCAACAACTTAACATTCCGTTGTTGTAAAAGTACAATGTTTATTTTACAGACTTGTTTTATAAGTCTGAGTTTTTTTTCTTTTGGTTTTTTGGTGTGTGAGAGGTTATTTTTTTCACTTATCCCTCACCAACTCATACAGAATCTGTGTTTCGGGCAGTGGCAGCGGGTTTTCTGTGTGGTAGCCCCAATGATTAGCTCATTGGGCTATAGTTAGTTCAGAGGCAGCCTAAAACAACTGTTTCTTTTTAAACTCATAAGTGGCGTTTTATGCATTCAAGCCTGTTCTGTTAAGTGTGAACCGATCTTCGTTGTTATGAACTGACAGTCGGAGGGAAACGCCCCACTTCTCCTTCTGTCCAATAGGCTCACAGGAAAGCCATGTACTGTGAGCAATGGAATCACTGCTAATGAGCACTTAACGTAGCAACCGGCCGGACGGAGCCCCATTCTGCTGCCGTCATTGGATGGAACTTCCTCGCCTGCTTTGATTTGCTTGCACTGAGCAGCCCTGGTGGACTCTGATTGGCTGAGCAGGAGAACATGAACTGGAGCCTCACTTACTGGGAGGTGAATATTTTGTCCCCACGGTGGAGGAGGAGGTGTCACCTTTAACTTTCTGCACACCTCTCCTTACAGGAAGGCTCGTCTTTTTTTTTAACCCCAGTATTTATGATAATCTATGATAATATAAATTGTGCATATATGTGTACAGTATGTGTTATAGTGTGCCTAAATGTACTGTCAACTCTATTTTCATATTTTTCTTTAACCTAAAAAAAAAATCAATCAGAATGTCATGATCATTTTACGCGACTGAAAATGACTTTAGGGTGTTTTTTTGCATCATGCTTATCAAACTCTTCCTTGTGAGCAACTGTGCTCAGATCAGTATAACACTAATAAAAGGTAACTCAGACTAACTGATCTACAGTGTGTGTGTGCTGTCTTCAGTATGTTTGCTGGTCTGATGCATTTGGGGTGAGCTTTGCAGGGCACAGTGTAGGCCGCTAACTGATATTATCTTGCTCAGTGCTGTCTACAATACAGTCTTTAAGTATTTGGCACAATGACACTTGAAATAAAGAGTGTGTAACATTTAAGAGGATCTATGGGCAGAAATGTATTATTATATTCATAAGTATATTTTAATTAGTGTATAATCATCTGAATATAGGAATTGTGTTACATTACCTTACAATGAGCCATTTTTATCTACAGATGCCACAGGTTGCCCTCCATGGAGTCCATGTTTCTACAGTAGACCAGAATGGACAAACAAACCTTTTGCTGTAGATGGGGCCTTTTGCGTTTTCTGTGGCCACTGCAGTTTCTCCTACACCCTTCTCATTACCAGGTCAAATACAGACTCAAGTGGTGTTCAGTTGGTTGCATTCTGCAAATTCATCGCTAGATGCCACTAAATCTTACACACTGGTCCTTTAAGAAAGAATGGTTAGCTTTAATTTCAGATTTTTGCTGTAATCTTGTACTGTGTCAAGTCTCTTTCCTGCTAATGACTGATCTCTCTCTGTGGAGAAAAAGGCAGAGGGCTCACACCATGCTGGTTAATTAATACCACCATTTTGAAACATTACACATCAACTATATATGAAAAACAGCACTGCCTGGAAGGAAAAAACTAAATTCAATATTATTTTTAAAGCTTATGGGCACTATACAGCTGCTTCATTCAGCGTATCGTGGCAGCTCTGAGCAAATGTCCTAACAACTTACAATACATTGTATTGTACTAAATGTTTTAGTAATGAACGCTCAAATGTATTGTTCTTAAATACTCAGTAAGGTTTTCACTTACAGGTATCACTGTTTAAATATAAGAAATGTCTTCATGCATAACATTTCAAGGATGACAGAGAACATTTATATTAATCATATGATCTCTTTCACTTTTAATTCAACCCATCAAAAGCTTCCAACATTGTAGGATGTTTGGTTCATCCACACAATGCCAACACAAAATCTGATCTGATGTCTGTGTTACTCCACAAATAGTGCAAACATCCTTTTCCAGCTTCTCCGGCTCGGTGTCCTATTGTCCATTAACATCTGCCCGACAGCTTCCAGTCCATCTATTGAGCATTTAAATGTTTATTCACGAGTTTCCAGACACCCTATGCGTCTTCTTTTTTGCTTTTCCTACCGGGTCAACGATCACAACAACCCCCCATGCAGCCAGACCTAAAAAAAACAAAAACAAACAAACACAGGTGTGCATGTATTACTTTTAAAGAAGCGACGTTACCACAGTGTTAAAACGTGGTAGCAGTACAGCGTGAACTTACTAGCAGCGAATGTAATCTGTGCCACCGTCCCCATGGAGGTAGGTCCCCCTTTAAGCATCACCTTCCGGGCTGCGTTGAACACATACGCTGCGGACAGGACCAGAGCCCCTCCGGAGAGGACCCGGCAGCTCCAGCAGCTCTTAAACAGCTGGCTGGGTTTGGACACGGCGGTATCTGCCCCTCCTGTCGGGGCTTCTGGTGCTGTTGACATTGCTCAAGGTGTAGTTAGTGCTAATGCTAAGGCTAACACACGCCCTGGTTTAGTAAAGGGACCGGATGGAGGAGTCCGATAAAACCCGACAACGTCAACAACAGTCCGCTTCTAAACTAGTGGTTAAACAACTGGTTCACATGAGATGAAGGTACAACCAAAGTCTACCTCGGGTCGTGCTCATGCAGGCTGTGGGAAGTTTGGGTTTGTAAAGCAGTTCCAGGTTAATGTTTCGTGTTTCCTCTCTTACTGCTTTGTGTTTGTTTTGGCGGATTGTGATCTCAGTTTACAGCTGCGTAGCGCCCCCTACCGTACCGGAGGATGTAGAACCGGGTCTGGTTAAGAAGTACACTAGTCTATGAACAAAATAAAGAGACAAACTATAACCTAACATATATTCTACTAAACAATCCGGTGTATTAAGAACTCTATAAACTCTCTCTGGTTTCCCTAATATCCCTGCGACACATGCAGAAAAACGTGGATATGAATGAGGAGCAGGCTGCAGGTACTGTCAGGACAGGAGGGAGTGTTAACTGGTTCTTCAGTCAAAGGTACAATGTGACATATTGCTCACTTCATAAATAACAGTTCTGTTTATGTAGTATTCACATTCACACTAATGAAGTCAAACTCCTTACAGTGTTACCATTGACAGTATGTTACAGACTCCTGCATGCCCTTAAAAAAAAAAAAAAAAAAAAGTATATGACCACAGCTGCAGTTACATTGTTTTCCATTATTTTTAACTGTATAGACCTAGACCACCCTGGTTTACTGATCTAGAGGAATATATTCAAATATATTGTACTGTAATTCATTCCCATGCTGCACTGCTCTTCTGTCAACAGTGTCTCTCCCTCAGGCAGTCAGTAGGTGTGGAGGTGGAGCAGGGTGTACCTATAACTTAACCTGTATGCAAATAATTGTAAATATTTAAATAGTTAATTAGATCCTGTGCCTCCCTTGTAGATTTTAATGAACATTTTAACAAATATACAGTACGAGTACGCTATCTAGTTCAATTCTAAGTATTAGATGTCCATTTACACTGCAGTTTGCAGTGATGTATTTATTGATCAAACAGAAACAAACACCAACTTAACCAATGAAAGAATAATGAAAAGTAATTGAGTAGTTACTAAAATAAAGTTATTAAACTGTTATTTATTTGATTAAATGGGGAAAAAAGTCCAATTTGTGTACTTCCTGGTTATATTCCTAATGCTTCCTGTATTGTATTTTCAAATTAAAGGTGTTTGTTTCTGTCTAGTTGCCTGGTTGCCGCTAGTGCTGTGAACAAGCTATTTTCTGTGATCCGTCCTCATGTAAAATGTAAAACGAGGAGCTGCGGCAAAAAACTACGACCATGTGGATCCACATTTATATCGCACACATCAAATCACCTCTAAACCCAGAAATTAGTCAGCTGAGTCAGCAGTTTACCTCCAGCAGGACTTCTGACCCCTCAGGCTCTGTGGCAACTGTCCCGTCAGGATTACACCATTCACGTCTCTCAGGGAACAAACAATGTCTCTGTTTTTTGTCTTTTTTGTGAGTCTTCCTTTAATGTGGGTCGCCGTGCAGACGGAACCCGTTGCGGGATCCTCGTACGTTGCAGCTGTGTACGAGCACAAAGTAATCCTGAACCCGCACCCTGATGTCCCGCTGTCCCGCGCCGCTGCCCTGAGACACATGCGCGAAAACCTGGATGTTTACGAGGAGCAGGCTGCCCGGGCCGCTCAGCAGGTACTGCCAGCACAGCGGAGAGTTATATGTAGTACTTCAGTCAAAAAGGGACAATGCTGCTTATTGCTCAGTTTATAAAAAACATTAAAAGTTATAAGTTTGTGGTTCATTCTGATTGTCACATTTTTTCCCCCCATAGCCATATTTTTAGCTGAAGCAATCAGTTATTATCTTATTTTTAATTTTTAACTCAAACCTTTCGCTCTGTTGGTCCTTGGACTCCAAGTAAAGTCTCAAATGTCAGTGCCATCGTCCCTTGCTGTAAATGGCTAAATATTTATCAGTTATCTGAGCTTGTATCATAACCAGAGAGCACTACATTTAAGATTCAGCTTCCCTAAACAGGGAATAATTAAAGAGCACAGTCAGGATAACAATACATTTAACTTAAATTAAACTTGTGATAGCAGGGTACTGAAAACAAGTTGGTGTTCCCAAGTAAACGGCCATCAGGAGTGGTTGTGTTTCTCTGTATGCTCACATGAAGAAGCACTTTTAATGTCACAGGGATCATGACTCACTCTATACAGTCGAGTAATGATGTCTCCTGTCTCACCTTCCCATGGCCAGGGTGCTCAGATCCTAGTGTTTCCAGAAGATGGTCTTCAGGGTTTCAACTTCAGCCGTTCATCCCTCTCTGGCTACCTGGAAACCATTCCTGACCCCCAGGAAGAGAGCTGGAACCCCTGCATGGAGCCAAGCAAATACAACAACACTGAGGTGCACAATAATACTTTTCATTTTGAGGTTGTTATTGAACAGGTGTTTTAATATGATACACTGACATGGAGACACCACTAGGCTGAGAGAGCCTTTGCTCATGCCTTGGCTCTGTGAATAGAAATCATATTGGCGTGTGGTTGTGTTTCACAGGTTCTCCAGCGGTTGAGCTGTATGGCCCGACGTCACAACCTCTACCTGGTGGCCAACATGCCTGACCTGCAGCCCTGCCCCCTGAAGACAGACCCCTCTTCCTCCTGTCCCTCTGACGGACGCTGGCAGTTCAACACCAATGTGGTTTTCAGGTGCAGTGTAGACCTTAAAATAGAATTAGTTTAGCTGAAGCCCAGCAAGAGCACCAGTACATCATTTTCTAGTCTATGTGAACAGTTCAGAGTATCTTCTTTCATACAGGTCAGATGGTCTGCTGGTGGCACGCTACCATAAGCACAACCTCTACTTTGAGAATGCCTTCGATACCCCGCCGCAACCTGAGATCATAACGTTTGATACACCTTTTGCTGGGAGGTTTGGCCTCATAACCTGCTTCGACATCCTGTTCCACAAGCCCACCATTACCCTGGTGGAGAAGGTAGATAGACAACCACTCAAATTCTGCATCCAACTCTACATTCCTGTGTTCGTTCTTCTCTTTTTCTAACATCCATCTCACTTTGGAATCCTTTTAGGGGATGCGTCAGCTGATCTTCCCCACAGCCTGGATGAACCAGCTCCCCCTACTGGACACGATCCAGTTCCAGCAGGCGTTCAGCTTGGGTTCCAATGTCACCGTGCTAGCAGCCAACATTCGTAATGACGGACTGATCATGACAGGAAGTGGTATCTACACCCCTTTTTCTGCCACCTACCACCACGCAAAGAAAGGAGACCCAGAGGAGGGCAGGCTGGTGGTGGCCAGGATGCCAGTCTTAGACCCACTGTGGGTGGGGCAGAGGGTGGCCACAGAGAAGGGGGTAGTTGAGGGTGAGTCCACATCATCTACAGCTACAGGATCTGGATACTGTGACAGAGAGAGCTGTTCTTCTTCTCCGGAAATTGGTTCTTCGTTCCCTCCCTCCTCCGCCACCTTCATCTCATCCATGATGTACGACCCATTCACATTTGTCTTCTTAAATGAGACAGACGGTGAAGTGAAGGTGTGCAATGGCACGTTTTGCTGTTACTTGCAATACCGGCGGTCACCACAAGGCAGCAGTAGAGAGCTCTACGCATTGGGAGCATTCTCTGGAACACACACTGTGAACGGACGCTATGCCCTACAGGTATGAATGAGAATAAGTTTGGGTATTTAAAATTGCTTCCTGAGAGTTTTAATATTTATCACATCTCTGCTGCAGGTGTGTGCACTGGTCCGCTGTGCAGGGTTGGACGCCGCATCCTGTGGACAGGAAGTGGGAGAGGCAGAGTCTAAAATGGACTTCCTTTTGGAGGGGAAGTTTGGGACCAGATACGTGTACCCATCAGTTTTGACTAGCAAGCTGGTCCTGGAGCAGCCGGAGCATCTTGAAAAGGCTGCAGATGGCAGAGTGACCATGAAACACTCAAACATGACTGGTGGGCTGGTCACTGCCTGTCTGTACGGACGGATGTATCACATGGACAATGAATGAATTACTTTGGAATAGATGAGAAAAATATCAAATAAATAAAAAAACGTTCTGACCAAGACTGATAATGACAATTCAGCTGTTACAAATTTGTATTCTGTCATGTACAAACTGCAATAAATCAAAAACAAATATCTTTATTCATCCATTACTTAATCTTTACAAACATTGCACCAAGTAGTGTTCAACCTCTGCCTGAAAGTAGCCTGTTCCTTAAAAGGCAATATTAATTAATTTCTCTCCCTCTCTCTCTCACTCTTCCAAACACACACATCTCTCTTACACACACACACACACACACACACACACACACACACACACACACACACACACACACACACACACACACACACACACACACACACACACACACACACACACGTATACACAGTGTGAGCCCACTCCCCCCCCATCTCCAGTACAGTACACCGACATTGAGTAGTTACAGCATTGCAAGTTAAAAGTTCCTCAGGCCGCTCTTTCCGATCTGTCTCCTGGACCAATCGTACAGTAAATGGGTCTTACATCCACCTGCTGTCAGAATAAGCTTCCAGGGATTCCACTTGGAGTAAATTTATAGGATTCAATAATCATTTCCTCTCTTCGGAATTGAAAAGTGGTTTTAAGAACAATTTACGCAGCATTATCAATGTGACAGCCATCAATGTCTCCCCTGGTAGCCCGAAGAAGAACTCTGAATAAAAACTCAAAAGTACAGTAGGGAAAACAGTAATAAATGACCTGGTCCCGTAAGATTGTCCCTCTGATTTTCCTTTTGACAATTGTGCTAAAAAAAAGCAGTCCTCTGAGCTTGTCTTCAGTAGATGCCCTTTTAGTAATAGTTGAAGGGAAAATTGTGAAAAGGCTTAAAACTACTGGAGAAATGATCATCAAATAGTATGAGCTTAATTTAAAAAGAAGAAACCATCACTTTAAATTTAAAAAGACACTGGTCATGTTACAGACCATAAAGTGATACTGTCTGAGAGAAATGTAGTGCGTATTCACCTTTTTGTATATTTTAGTACATTGTTTTCCGCCACACAGGTTTTGCATCTTGAGGAAACAAACATATGGTTTACAACAAGGGTTATTTTTTTATTTGAAGAGGCTTACCTAAAAATAACTGGCCCTACTTTCTCCCTCTTTTCTCTCTTTTAGTTCCTTGCCAGTGATCTATTAAGGCTCCTGAGTGGCTGGCTAGCCTGCCAGTATTTTAGGGCTGTCCAATAGCAGGTATGTCCTCAGTATGTCTCTGAATCGGAATCATTCAGTTCATCGTCCACAGAGATGGAGGATAGCGGGCGCTCCGGCCTGCAGTAGGAGGCATGGTCAGGCCTCAGAGGCGGTGGGGCGTCAAAGGCCACGCCTTTGGAGATGTGGTTGTTAGTGGGGTGGTGGTTGATGACTGTCTGCGTAAGAGAAAGCGCAGGCAAAGCTGTTATGGTGACCATAGGGGAGGTGGGCATCATGGAATTGAGGATGAGCGCCAGGCAGTCGGCCACATCACGGTTGGGAGCGCAGGACAGAGCTGGAGTGTAACCTGCAGATAAGAGAGGAGTGAGTGAGTGAATAAAAAAAAAAAGAATAGATCACATTTCACTGTAGAAATACGTGTGAATGGTAAGATGAAAACTGACCATTCTCATCCACCGCTAACACACTGGCTCCTTTCCCCAGCAGCTCTTGGACCACCACTGTCAATCCCTTCCTGGCTGCTACGTGCAGGGGCCTGCAGGAAGGTGGAGGGAGATATAAAAGTTAAAACCAATCCTGTCTGAAGTTTATTACACTGCTGCACAACTGGGAATACTACGTACGTCTGGAGAGCAGCGTTGGTGCAGTTGATGAGGTTCCTGTCGCTGATCTTCTCCAGGATCAACAAGGCACTCGTCTCATGACCCTGAGAGGAAAGTACAGTTGTCCCATTGTAACCACTGTTAGGTCAGAGGTGCTCATATGTGCTTGGTGACATGTTAATATCCACATTTCACCATAGCCAGCCATTTCCTGTCTCTCTCTCTCTTTCCTGTGAATTGTTACCTTGCTGCAAGCCAGATGTAATGCTGTGTTCCTGTGTGTATCCTGTAGTGCCAGGTCTGCTTTAGCACTGCTCACCAAGACCTCTGCAACACATGAGATAGTTACATGTCAAAAGGTTTAGATAAATAAAAGGCCAATAGTGTCTACTATGTGTCAGTGCATGTACTGACCCACAGTATTGGTCTGTCCGTTGAGAGCTGCCATCATGAGCGGCGTCCTGCGCAAGTGGGTGTCGACTACGTTTGCCTGAGCTCCGTGGCTCAGCAGCAGGGAAACACACTCCACGTGGTCGGAAAAAGCTGCAGCGTGTAGAGGGGTCCTGTATCGACAACAATATATCAGCAAAGCTTGTGCTAACCCCAAACAACTTTCATAAAAACGTGATGGGTTTGAGTCTGTTTGCATCTCTCACCTGCCCTTAGAGTCAGTGGTGTTTACGATAGTTGCGCCTAGGGAGTCAATTAACATCTCAGCTACTCCCTCGTTATCGTTCATACTGAAACACACAGCACACACCGTCACATACCCCCACTGTTTATGTACATAAAAAGTAAAAGTAACCAAAGTCATTGGTACAAACAGACTCATTATCTTACACAGCACAGTGCAGTGGACTGAAAGAGTTGCCCTTAATCTTCTTGAACACCTCCTGGTCTAACAACACTTCCACACAAGCATCATATCCTAGGAAAACAGAAAGAGGACAGAAGTTCAAAGGGAAGAACAGATGTACAATACTTCTCTGCAGTGGCTTCATAAAGAACAGACATGTTTCTCAGGTGTGCTATGCTGTGTCCCAGTACCGTTGTAGCAGGCCCAGTGCAGAGGTGTGTAGCCCTGGTTGTCAGTGAGGTGTGTGTGAGTGTGTGAGCTGGTGGCGGTGGCCTGCAGCAGAGCACCCAGAGCACCCACACGTCCGCAAGCAGATGCCAGGTGGAGAGGGGAGCGGCCCCGGATGTCTTTGACACACACGCTGGCCCCACGCTGGAGAAGGGCCTCCACACACTCCTCCGGGCCGGTCACCGCCTGTGTGAAAGATTACAAAGTGGGAAACACATTAGAAACTAGAATTACTGTGCCGGGTTGTCTGCTTCTGCCACCAGTCAAGCTGCAGTTTACATCCATGTCTGTCCAGACTCATAATATTTGTGGTGATTGGTGAATACTTGGGAGGAACTGAATAAAAAGTATAAAGTGTATATTGGGCTAAATGGAAGTTTTTGCTAGTGAATATACATTTTTGAACTGGTTTTGGAAGGATTATCATTGATGTATTGACTAAACAGGTACACGTGTACTTGATTATTATGTAAAGATGAATTCTCATAGAGTATAGCTACAAAACATGTGATGCATGCATTTTTAGATGAAACTCACTCACAGAAACACGATTACCTAGCCAATATGTTGCTTGCAGTCATGTGATTCCGATGAAGCTCGAAATTCAGAATGAGGCAGTAAGTGTAAGACATAATGGATGAGATGGATGCTAGTTATTGTTTACTCATTGTGTCATCCCAGTAAACGTGTATGTTAAATATGGATGTTCATTCTTACATAATAGTTAAAAAACCTATTTTGAGGTCACAATAACCTTTGAGTCAAAAGTGCAACCAAGTCATTGTCTGACAAATTGTAAAAATCAATTCTTGAGTTATGTGTTTTGTGAGGTCACGGTAACCTTTGACAACCAAATTCTAATCAGTTCATCCTGAGTCCAAGTGGACATTTGAGGTCAATTCGAAGAAATTCCCTCAAAGCATTTACAAGCATGTGAAGGATAAATGGATGGACAGCTGGCTGGAGAGAGCCATAAAAAAGTAAAAAAAATGAAATAAAATAAAATAAAATATTAGGTTAGTGGGTGGGAGTGAATGTTTCTCACCCCTCTGTGTAGTGCTGTCCTCCCCCAGCGATCCTGATTCTCCACACTGGCTCCTTGACTGAGTAGAGAGTACACACACTCTGTGTGTCCATTCAGCACTGCTAACATCAGAGGAGTCCTGTAAACAGTAGAAATAAATCAATTATTTTATTTATATTTCCAGTGAAGCTAGTTTGAGCAATGAGAAGGCAATGAAAGCCTTCAGCCTAAGCCATTTTGTCTACGCACACACACATGCACTCACTGTCCGTTGGCGTCTTGTGCGTCCACATTAATGTGTTGGTTGTTGTTGCTCATGAGCAGGCGCAGGCACTCTGGGTGGCCATTCATAGCTATGGCAGACAGACACACACATGCTTTGACATGACTTATTTTTCCAAAGAAACAACACGTTTTTCCATTTTAAAAGCCAGAAAATAAATAAATCTCCTTCATGTGAGGTGAAGGTGTTACATTCAAACAGATTTCTTTTGCTGGGTGTGTAACTGTCTGTATACCTGCAGCATGTATGGCTGTCTTTTTGTTTGTGTAGTCACGGGTCATGGGTGAGGAGCCATGGTGCAGCAGCAGAGAGACACACTCTTGGTGACCCCTGGAGCAGGCCAGGCTGAGGGGTGTCCGGCCGTCTGGGCTGCAAACGTCCACTTCCAGCAGGGACGACAAGAGAACCTCTAAAGCTCCACAGTGTCCGTGGTAAGCCTAAATCAACGAAGACACACACCCAGGACTCGAAATTTACTTTTTGTTTCTATTTATTATCCCCGATTTATTGGGTTTTTTTGTGCCTTTATTTTGATAGTTTAACTGAACAGGAAAGGGAAGATAGAGGGAGGATGACGTGCAGAAAAAGGCAACAACTGGATTTGAACACAGGGCACTGCAGTAAGGACTAAGCCTAAGGCGCCCCACACACACTTTTTTGATGTCCAATTGTAACAGACAGGGCAGAGACAGTGAAATCCTGGATGTGAAAAGCAAAATACACACACACTGACAAATACTTACCGCCAGGTGAAGTGGACTGACGGGAGCCTGGCTCTCTGAGTCACTCAACATGTCCGTTCCTGATGTTTCCATTAACTGAAATACAAAGAGATCAGATCCATGTTTGTGTCCTTGACAAGTCACTGCCTCGCACAGACATCAAGCCACAGTCACACTGCTCCATGTGCTCGATATTTATTAAATATAGTAAATATCATCAGACATTGTCGGCCTTATCTGCCTAACAGCTGCCTAACCACCATATTCCCCATTTGCCAAACAGAGGGAGCTACGTACAAAGAATTAATATAAGGGCTCATTGTGTTACAGCGGATGATGGAATTTCTTTCTTACCACATCAAGAGGTGTTTCACTTGCCATCTGAAAGAAACACAGACAAAGACTGTTTATGATACCATGACAAGTGAACATGTGTACTGTCATTTTCTCTACAGTTCTAAAACATTTTATCATATGGAAGAGATCAGATTTAATTTGCATGATGTTTCAGATGTTTCTGACCCTCCCTGTAGAACATGCAACATATGTTCACTCAGTGTGGTAGCTGTACACACCAGTTCTAGGCAGAGTGTGCGTCCGTAGGCTGAGGCATAGTGCACTGCACTGTAACCCTGCCTGTCTCTCACTCCTGGATCAGCATCATTCCTCAACAGGTATTCCACACACCTGACAAAGACAAAAGAGAACAGTTTTTTTTTTCTATAAAGAGCCTTCATCTGACACTGAGGATTCTTTGATACTTAAATATAAACTATATCAATTAAACATGTAGTACAACATACTTTCCATCAGTGTCAGCTGCAGCAGCATAGTGCAGGGGGCTGCAGCCTCTCTGGTCCAGCTCATTGATGCTTGCCCCGGAGCCCACCAAAGCAAACACACACTGGTAGTTACAGTTGGCTGATGCATAGTGAAGTGGAGTCCTGGGATGTGCAGAGAGTCATCATCAACTATTACATATGCCAGCGAGGACTTCATACCTTCATACTCCCTCTACTCCCTGAAATGTAGTCAAAAGTCTACAGACCTTGTTTTATTTCTATTCCTAGCATTTCTAGAATTAAACTGCATGCCTGTCTCACCTTCCAAAGTTGTCTTTCCTGTTAAAGTCCGCTCCTATGTTTAACAGCAGGTTCAGACACTCCAGGTTCCTGGTTGGAGAGACAGCTTTAACAGTTATGCTTTGTTGACATACCAAATCTATTGTAATCATGTGCATTCTGTTTGTGATAAAAACACAAGTCAACTAAATACAGAACATAAAAAAAGTGCACTAAATAGACAGAAAACATTAAACAAAAGGTTATACTGTTAAATAAGCAACAAAGAAAACCATTAAAAGAAGGTGAGAAATTAAACAACAATAAGGCTGTAAGCAGGAATGATGACTCACCCTCCAGCTGCAGCAGCGTGTAGACAGGTCCTTCCAAAGTCATCAGGGGTGTCTATGTCAAACCCTGCACCAATATGAAATCAGCATCAATTAGGATGTCAACTAGTTGATTCTAGTGGCAAGAATGGTGTCAGCATGAATGTACCTGAGGACAGCAGCTTCCTGCAGCAATCTGAGAAGCTGCTGAGAGCTGCCAGGTGTAGGGGGAACATCCCATGAATGCCTCTCCTAAAAAAATTTGAAAGGCAGATAAGGCAAGTCATCACAGGACATGGAAGGTAAGGTGTGAGAACATGGAGCAACACAAAAAGGAGGTTGAAAGAATGGTTTCTGTTGAGTTAAACAAGCTCCACTCATCACATTGTTCCCTTTTTATTTGTTTTTAAGTAAATAACAAATTATGTTCAGTGGGAAGATAGACAGATGGTTAAATGTCAGTTTTTACTTACTTGGCGGTGTTGGCTCCGTGTTTGATGAGTGCTGTGATGATGAGCTCATGGCCACAGCGGGCAGCGATGTGAAGGGCAGTGTTTCTGCTCTTGTCCTCACAATCGATCTCAGCTCCTGCACACGCATAAATAAAGGGTGTATGTCTGCATTTCCATTGAAACCCTTTTATTGTGCCATTGTTACAATCGCTACCAAGGCATGCAAACTAATTTGAATTCAGTCATGAAGCAAACATCATGCTGTACAGGCTCTCACCATTTTGAATGAGGGCCTGCGAGCAGGAGAACCTTCCATGAGTAGCTGCCATGTGGAGAGGAGTCTTACTATCCTTACTCTGGACAGATGGAGGGAGTGACAGTGGAGAGAGGCAGAGGGGGACAAAGATGATGATTAGATTTTTCTGTACAGTATTAAGCCTTCAGATCAGTCTTGCAGTGCGGTAGAGGTACATTAAAGTGCCAGCATGGGAAGCTGACTCAGCTGTGAGTCTAATACTGTAGTTGAACCCAGGATGAATACTCAATGGCACAAAAAGGTAGCACTCACAGATTTCCAGGAAAAAGTGCTTATGTTTTAGCCTCATGGACAAAGGCCATAAGCTGAAATGTTACCACTTTTTCTGACATGGCCAAAAAATGTGTGTAATTGAGATTAGTCAACTTTTTCCTGGAAACCTGGGTGTGCTACCTTTTATGCCTTTGGGTATTCATCCTGGGTTCAACACTGGAACTTAAGACTTTGGTTTAGCACCACAAACAAAATACTGGGAAGGCGCATCCTCTCTAAGAGCTATTTAATACTGTAGTGTTAGAAAAGCTTAGAATGAACAGAAGCTATATTAGACCCCCTTGTGGACCACACATACACCCACACACATATTCCCTGAGCAGCTTGCAGCCTGAGGGAGCCACCCCCTCCCCCTCCCCCATCTTCTTCCATATGGCCTTGCATCTTGAGGCTGTGGGGACCTAATAGCAGTTTCCATGACTGCTACCATAGTGTTAACAACACTGTCATTTCAACGTTCTGCTAGATACTGGACAGCTGCAGATTGGTAAGAGCTGAGGCTCCTTTTCGTTTTGTTAAAATAATTATACAGGCCATGTATATACGCTCACTTCAGCTATATTAATATACAGCCACTATTGTTTCTCAACTAAATTGGTGTGCTTTGTATGGAAGTGTATCTGCATCTGGACACACCCGCATGTTGATGTGAGCTCCGTGGGCCAACAGCAGCTCCTGACACAGCGCCCCCTGGCGTGAGGAGGAGGCAAAGTGGAGAGCAGAAAAACCCCTCTCATTCACCTGAAGCAAGGTACCAAATAACACGCAATTAAACACACACAATTACTATGCACATGCTATCTCATACAGACACACACACACACACATACACACACACACACACACACACACACACACACACACACACACACACACACACACACACACACACACACACACACACACACACACACACACACACACACACACAGACACACCTGGTTGACGTTGGCCCCTGCCTCAATGAGCTCACTGACCACCACATCCTGTCCATTGTAACAGGCCAAATGGAGTGGAGTGTTGCCATAAGCATTCACCTCGTTGACCTATGCAAAAAGAGCAGAAATCTATGCTTATGTAGTGTTTTTCAGGAACATAGCATGACTTGGCTTTTTTGCATTTTATTGACTTGAGAATATGAGATTGATACCATTTTAAATAGCATTTATATTTTTAGTTAAAGATATGGCTAGGTCAAAGGGTCATGGTACATTATGTACACATTAAGGACACTGCTAGTGCATGCATGTCTGTATGTCTGTACTGACGTGGACCCCCAAGCCCAGCAGGTAGTGCACTGTGCTGCTCATGCCACTGGAAGCAGCTGCATGGAGTGGGGTGTAGGCTTTCTTGTCCTTACAGTCGACCTCTGCTCCGCTGGCCACCAATAACTTCACCACCTCCAGGTGACCTGAAACAGAGAAGGGCAGTATGAAAATGACACAAAAAAGTGTCAATTCAGAGTCCAATTCAACTAAGTCAAGACATGTTTACTAGGGGATTTAGCAATTACTGAAAGCAGTATATGTTAGTGTGTATGACTAGGGAGAGACAGAGGCTTCATCTAGTATGTCACGTTGTACCCATGTAGGCTCCCCAGTGGATGGCTCTCCTGTCCTTCTTGTCAAATGCATTAATGTTGGCTCCCCTGGACAGCAGCAACTTCACCATCTGTCACGCAAAAGTAAATTAGCTGATTAATTTAACTGTTGACATGTATGCAAGTGTCTCTGTGTGCATCTAAAAAAGAGACCAACCTCTACATGTCCACTGAAGGCAGCGTGGTGCAGGGCAGTGCGTCCTGCTCGGTCAGACACATTGACATTGCTAAGCAGCGGGACCAAAGCCTCAGCACAGCGTACCGCCTTGTTGCTTGCTGCAACATGGAGTGGCGTCTGCCAGTTCTTGTCCCGGGCGTTAACATCTGCACTGTGTTTCAGCAACACTGCCACTGCATCCTGGATGGAGAGCGTGAATGGGTCAGAGTGTGCAGACAGACAGTCTATTTTCAAACATGCCTCAGTGTTCTAACAAAAGTACGCACCAGTATGTGCAGGTGGCTGTGTGTGGGTGGTTATAAAGTATTTGCTATTCTTAGGGGGCTTCCATGCCGACAATAGCAATGAGAAGGAGAAACAACGCGAGCGGCTGTGTGGACCAAGCAGAATAGGTCAAAATATTTTGAAAGTTTATCAAAGACCAACACGCTAGTTATGTAATTTTACCCTTTTAAGTCTAGATTGTACGAATCTGTAAACATAATGCCGACAACAATCATTTTCTCCATCTCATGCCAGTAAGGTAGCTACAAGATATTCCCCTTGTTCTGTTTTCTGTCATCACAGTGGACTCAATGTAATGAGAGAAGAAGTAAGAAGAGAGAAGAAAAGAACCGTTAGTGGGGAAGCCCCCTTCGTAGGGTTGAATTTGTGTTATCAAACACAGGTTTCTCCAAGGTATAAAAAGCTGTAATAACCCAAAAACATAGTAAAATAATTACAGTGGAGTCATCACAGCGCACATTAGTAGTAGGTTGTTTGTGTAATGCGTTACCTCACTACATGAGGCAACAGCTCGGTGAAGAGGAGTCAACCACTTGTTGTCTTTGGCATTAACTCTGGCTCCTTGGATGAAAGAAGTGAGAGAGAGAGTGAGAGATGTCAGAGATATGTCAACATTGGCTCACATGGCAAAGACAAACATGGTGGTAAAAATGTCTCATCATTGAAGGATACACTAAAAGAGCCAATAAAACACATTGGGGTGTGAATAGTAAAAAGAAAAGACAAACTGAAGTCTTTTTCCATGACTTATGGGAGACGGTGTTGTGAGCCAACAGTGCCTGGAAGATATAAAACTTCCATGACCCTCTTTGGCACAGCCTGGGGGTCAAAATAGCCCTGAAGCTGCACCTGTTGCTTGCTCTTCACATAATTGAGAAACAGTGAAAACACACACACACACACACACACACACACACACACACACACACACACACACACACACACACACACACACACACACACACACACACACACACACACACACGCTTGTGTTATGACAGGGTGGGCCCCACCTCCTGACATGCTCAGCTGACTTCAGAGGAAGTAAAGCCGACACAGACCCTATCGGATGATTGATAAATCACAAAGAGAGGTTGACAGACAGAGCAGTGAGCATATACACAGGAATAGAAACATGAGGATGAGAGAGATGAAGAACAGGCAGTGGGTTTGAAGAATTTAGGAAGTCATGGCAGGATAGAAAGAGGATGAGGTAAACTGACAGCAAACAAAGTGGTGTTGAAGGTCAACATGAACTTGACATGCATGTATGTATACATGGACTTTTATGACTTCCGTATTCCTTAAAACTATTTACTGTGCAATGAAATGCAGTTAATTTTTGTCAATCAATAAACAGGAAAAAATATAGGGGAGCTAATATGGACACACAGACTAGATAGATGCACACACAGATGGCCGCTAACAGCCAGTGTCAATAGATGACTAAGCTTTCAAGTAGAATTGAAATTAAACTGAACGGATAGCTGACTAGATTGATAAATAAATAAATAAATAAATAAATAAATAAATAAAGGGTAGTAAAGCTGGGCTGTAGTGTTTACCTGAGAGGATGAGCAACTCAATGATCTCAGCGTCCCCCAGATAGGCTGCTGCGTGCAGAGGCGTCCGCTTCTCGTTGTCCTGGCAGGAGACAAAACACAGAAAAACACAAATTTAAGCACGTGTGTTATTTCTCTTTTTTCACACAAAGACGGGCCTTGAGACACATGCTCACAAACACACGTCATGACGGGGGTGACAAGTCCCTAACAAAATCTATAAACCTCACACTGCTGCAGACCGCAAGAAACATGAGACTACTTCCACAAGGAGAGAAGTGTCTATCATGTGTTCACTTGTATTCTTCTCTTCGCTCCATCACTTCAACAAACCCTGCTTCTACACCCCCACCTCTCTCTCTTTCAGTGCAGGAGAGAGCAATCAACAGAGTGGGGCTATAAACACATGTCATGTGACTGCAATAGGCCTGGGCCAGTGTTGCTGACTCCAGGAAGACTCAGTGTGATGACCCCAGCACTATAGACCAACAGCAAGCACAGAGAGAAAAACAAAGAATGTGAAAACAGAGTGGGTTGTAAACTGAGAAAAATATATTCAGAAAGACAAAGGCCAGAGAGCGAAAGCGATTGGAGGGGAAAAAAAGGAGAGATATCAGGTGTAGGTTATGTCCTTAAACCATAGGATAGGATAGTGTTGAATGAACAGTTCATGTTTCTTGCCCTGGCTGACAGCTATATAAGATGGGGTAGCTGCCAGAAGGCACGCTCAGTCAGCCAAGTAATCAATAGGAACCCAGATCAATTGTAGCCTACGAGCTGACTCCGGCTCTCCTTGGTGTTTTTTTTATATTTCAACGTTGTGTGTGTGAAGCTTAAGAGTCACAGAATATTACACAGGGATCGCAGAACACAAACATACTACACTGGGAATAAATCGTGGGAAACAGCAAGAAGTGTGTGTGACTCACCTGAATGTTGACATCCTCTTTCTTGAATATGAGGGAGCGGACTTCATCTGGGTCCACGTTGAAGATGGCTCTTAACAGAGACGGCTATAGAGGGAAAAATCAAAAACAAGACAAAATGCTGATGTACACTATTACACACTCGATGTACAAGGCAGTCATTTTCTATGCTGACAACTATGTTATCAGGGAGAGTTATGAGAGTTACAAATGGGAGAGTCTTACACACAGACACTATAATCCTGAGCTGGGAGAGAGCCACAGGTCACAAATGACCATATATCACCAGTTTGTTTATGACAGTAGCAGCTGCAGCATACATCACATAAACACATGCATGCATGTACACACCATTACATAAATGTTTGAGTCTGTGAGGGGTTAAAAGTTGTGCTCTCTTGCCACCTGGTGAGAGGCCAGCTGATAAGAATATACAGTGGTGTAAAACCATAAAAAAGAGAGGGGAAAAAATGACTAGGTTAGCCACAAATGCTGAAGTATTTCAGGTATTTATTAGGACGATTTAACAAGTTATACAAGGTATGTGTGTTCTTAAGACAGAGATTTCCCCAGAAAGAGGAAGCTGCAAATGAATGAAAGATACAAAAACACACTGAGCACGGCACTATAATCACTTAAGTTTCATTTTCGTACATCTGTGGATGTAAACAGCATGAGAGCAGGATGCCTGATACTGAGATTGGGATTTGTAAACACAGAACAGGGAGTCCATTCAAAAGGTTAAGGGAAGTACCACTATTTTAAGCTCACAATTAAATTCTGCATACTGGATTCAAAATACAGTAGTCTTTTGATGTTTTTATATTTAGGTAATTTATTGTCTTTGTGACCTTTTATCTTAGATAACTAATAAAATCTTAAATCATGTACACCAGAACAACTTTGACCCACATTTTGAGCTTTATTACTTTCACATGGAACCCTGCAATATAAACAATTTGTTACTGATACTGATAACTAATATCTTGTTTTGCGACATATTGCTGCACAACCATGACTTTCTAGTTACTGTGATCATGATTATAAATCACTAGCCTATTTGTCACTAAGATCTGAGTGATTCAATTTTATTTATAATCACACTACTCTCTATTTACTTCATTATTTGATCATTATAACAAACTGTTTCCTTGTGTCATTATGTTTGGATATGTAATTAATATAAGGACTTTAAGTAGATTGATAACATACAATTTAAAGCAGTGCTTTTCTTTGTGCTGCATCATTATTGAAAATTCACTGACGAAATACAAAAACACAAGTACATGCATACCTAGTGTCACATGCGTACCTTTTTCCCCAGCCATGGTTGCTAATCAGTACAACACGAGTACTATGATGTGGATCTGCTCCTTACTCGGTTTTCCCCATCCCTCTCTCATTTCGTCCAAACTAAAAATAAGTGGGGCTGTCAGGCATGTCGGCGTCTGTCTCATGCCTATTACACACTGATGACCACTGCAACTATGTCAGAGATTGGAGAAGGTAGACACGGACTAAGAGCACAAACCCTGTGACTAGAGCCGGCACATCTTCCCTGGCTTTAACCCTCTTCGTGAACACTTCAAAGAGCAGCTCTAATAGGATCAAAAGAACGTTCACTACCATGTTTCAATGGTAGGCTTGCCCTTTATACAGCACAACACTGGAGTCTACAAAGGCCAGGCTTTGCTGATAATCTATACAAACCAGCAGTCTCTTCTCATATGGCAGGGCTATATTGGTGATTATATTGGTGCTATATTTAGCAATGGATGCCAAGTGTTGGAAGTGCGTTGTATTTTCATGCAATATGATGTGTAACTATGCACTTCAGCTCAGGTTTAAACTTCAGGCCAGGTATGAGAATGTCACATAAAAAACTGTTAATAAATCTTAAATGTGGCAACGCCTCCGCTGATTTAGATTCAGAAAACTCTAATTCAATCAGTGAAGAACCAAACAGAAGGACCCATCTCACCTTGTCCTCTTGAGCAGCAGCCCTTCGAGAGGCATGATGGGATCTGCGGTCTGGGGATGATTTGGGCCGGGGAGGTGGGGGCGAAGAAGAGGGCTCATCCTCCTCCACCTCCTCCAGCACCACAATACACACACGGCTAGCCCGCTCTGACCGCATCAGGAACAAACAATCACACACACACACACCCCAACACAATCACTCACTCACACACACACACACACACACACACACACACACACACACACACACACACACACACACACACACTCTCTCACACACACATAAATACACTGTTCCCTCTTACATACGTGGGCAATTCAGGAGCACAAAGGTCAGCAATTAATCCCACAAAAGGACTGGGTTCCTCGTAAACAAACACTGCACATCTTCAGGTAAAATCCAATGTGAAATCCAGTTCTGTCCTCTATCTGTCAGTGTTGCTTTGCTGCATGTCTCCTCTCCTCCTCTCTCTAACCCACACTCGCACTCTGTGAGCAGCAGTAGCGGAGACAGCAGGGAATTCCTCTGCGTAATGGTGGCAGTAAGCGGCATGCGGCAGAATGAGCTTGGGCTGCCTAGCAGCACACAGGAAGCTACATATCCTCACTGCTGTGCTGCAGCCAGGAACACACACATACACACGTCAGATGCAAAAACACACACACACACACACACACACACACACACACAGAGAGACCCTGTGATTAGCGTGGACGGGGGCCGTAGAAGCCAATGTATGTGTGGGCATGCGTCGCTCATTTCAGGCAGACTGCTGAAGCAAGCTCTTTCAAAAGGAGAGACAGAGAGAGGGAGAGGAGGGGGAGGGGGAGAGAGACAGACAGAGAGAGAGAAAGAGAGAGAAAGAGGGAGGGAGGGAGAGAGAAAGTGAAAGGAAAGGGGAGGGGAGTAGGGATAAAAGGGGAGAGAGAGAGAATAATAATTGTAGGCGGGTACCTACTGTAGAGCACTACAAAACGAGAACAAGAAACCTGAAGATGAATGGAGCAAAGGACAAAGAGGGAACTTGGGACACCAATGGGTGCAAACTGGTTACAGAAAGTTAACTGAGAAACAAAGTGACTCACAATGCAAAATGTAAACAAAAGGAGATTAAGAGGGAGCGATAGATGAAAAGGGAACAAAAAAATAAATGAATGGCAACAAGTGAGGGAAACTGCACAGCTAGGGCCCTATTCTAATGAATTATCAGGTAACTTGCTGGATGGTGCTGAAGCCCGAGTCCCACATGAGTTCTGTTAAGTGTAACAACAAAAGTGGAAGTGAAATGATGATGCTACAGTAGAGAATGATGGTGCAGCACTATTGATTCTTTAGAGAAAGCTCCGCTATCTTCAGCATCCAGTCCAATGTTGTTTGTTGAGCACTTCAATATTGTCTGGACATCTGAAGGTTCATGTCTGTATTGTGATTTTATTATCCCTATTTTATGGATTCTGTGCTAAGCCACTCAACAAAGCACTGATCTTTGGTATTGTACATTAAAGTAATGGTGTGAAGCATTGAAGATCTCCTCATATTCTATTATCTAAAAAGCTGCAACCCACACAGCCTTGTAAAAATGAAACCATGTGCACTACAATGTTGTGTTGTTTTTAGAATTTGCTAAATAAGATTTTAGTGGTCTGCATCTTCATGAAGTTGGTGCTAAAATAGAAGCGACCTTCCAAATGTTAGAAAATAAAAGAAAATGGATACCAGATCAGTGTGTGTACGTGTGTGTGTTCCAGTATGTTCTTTGGTTTATCGGTGGCATAGCTTCAAAAGTCCCCATCTCCTCATTATAAAACTGGAACAAACTGGCTTTGCCAGAGAATGTGAGGGTAGCTAACAAGACCAGTCTGTGCGTGCATGTCTCTGTGTGTGTGTCTCAGTCTCCTTCATATTCAACACAGATCCTAAAAAGAGCAATCTTGCCAAGCCACACAACCCCATTAACTCAGAGGGAGGAACGGAGCAAAGGAGGGCGAATCAGAGGGAGAGATTCAGTTGGATGGAGCCTTTCAGCAGACCTAAATTTTAAGTCTAATGGACTTACCATTTACATTCTTAATATGAAAGACAGGCTAACAATCTTTCTGCTCCTACAGCAACTGAGCTGATGTTACAGATTTGCTTTGAAAAACACAAATAAAGAATGATGTTTGGGTAGCAAAGTATATAAACAAACTATGTTTTGTCTCCCACTTGCTAGTGCTGGGGGTACTCTCAGGAACGTAGCCCAAAGATGTTTACATTGCAGATTTGTTGCCATTTTCCAACAGAAAAGAGTCTTCCTGTGATCAGCATGTGTATTCATGTGTGTTTAAAGATGCAATCAGGACTCAAAGGCATGGCTGAACATGGAATAGGCAGGACATAGTAGAGCGCACTCCTAAATACAAGCAACAACAACTGAAAAAAACATTTTGTGATGCGTTGGACATGTGCTTTCATGAGGCAGGCAGAGCTCAAATGCCTGCTGCATTTGTGCTGAGCTGGTGCTCATACAGCAATGGGACACATACAGAAGGTGAACCTGATCTCGCTGCAACAACAAGAGGATGCAAGCAAGGTATTATCACAAATACCCATGAATAAAATTCCATTACAGCATATGAGCTTTACTTCATGAGAGTGACTCAACGTGACAGAGTGCATGTGTAAGTGAAAGTATGCAGCTTGCACTGACCTCTGCTCTGACCCTGCGACAGGATGCACTGTGTGTAATGTAATCCCAGTCCAGAAACACAAAGGCCAGCACGTGTGTGTGTGTGTGCGCACTAAGACACATACTCACACAGACAGCAGCAATGAAGAGGCAAACATTTTGAGATTTCAAAGCTTTTAAAGATCAAGAGAGGGTGATCTAATAGCGCTCTGCTGTCCTGTATGGTATGCACATTCTGACATGCTATCCATTAAATACTCTAACTGAATGGCAGAGATTGGAGAATAAGTCATTAACATTACATGAATCTGAATTGATACGTACAATTTTAATGCTCCAAAATACACCCTGATATTCATGCCAGACCGCGGCGAAGCAGCTTCACCTTAATGTTGACTCATCTGTCGAAGGTGCTACTTTTCATTAGTTTTTAGTCATATCTAAATGATATAGTTATCATAGTGTATATTGCAGTGTGTATCCTCACGGTGGCCTGGCCCACTGATTCTGTCTACTAGTAGAGACACAGTTATGATTATTCATTTATTGGATAAGTCTAGTTTTTATTGTACAAAATGCAACGTGGAAAAACATAACTTAAAAATAAGCAAGATATGCCACCAATTTTAACATTGCTTCCTTTTCAAAACAAAATATTTTAAAATAGTTGAATAAACACCATAAACGTATGTTTATAATGTATTTCAATATTCCAAGAGATATTTCTCAGATGTTCTACTGCACAAGAAACAAATGAGTTACAGCAGTTGTTTCAGCTATGCAACGGTGTGGCGGTATATGAAAAATTCATATCATACAGGAAATTAAAGTAACATAAAGCACTAGTATACAGGTTCCTCCGGTGTATTGCGCAGTACTACCTGACAGTAAAAAAAGGGAGAGCAATTGTACTGTATGTATACTGTACACATTTCACTTGTGGGCAAACAAGATGTTACATGGTGCTGAGAGGCTCTTTGGCTACCAACCATTAACACAGTACTGCTGATGTATGCATCATAAAAGCCCTAATCAAGTAAACACAAACAAAACTACAATACGCTCTCTTGTATGCTTGACCTTCTCTTTTCATTGAGTGTTTAAATGCCTCTACTATCTCTCCCCAAGCTGCTGGGTTAGGAGACTGCATGCTCCAAAGCTACAGGACGCCCTCTAGAGGACAAACAGAAGCCTTTGCCAAAAGTGACACTCACTCCTGTCCCCAGTCCTGCCTGTCTGAGTGTGACTATTTTTGTCCATTCGTCCAGTTCTCTTTCAGCACTATAGAGAACAATGGAGAATAGAGCGGCAGATCAAATCACACACACACTTCCGTTTGTTGCGTTCCTGCTGACTGCTCTGAAGACTGGTCAGTCCAGGACAGGCCACAGAGCGCCACTTTGACTGAAGTTCAAAAACATTATATCTTACTATAACCATTTAGGCCAATTCTGAACCCACACATACGATTTCTAAGCACTTGTCTGCTTATTATATTTAACAACAAATCATTTAGTCTTTAAAATGTAATAAATAAGGGATGCTTAATACAAGTGACCAGAGCTTTTTAATTGTCTGACTGAATTGCACTCAATTTACAATATAAAACTGAGAAGAGAATAAAAAGCATTATATTAAAAAAGATGTTGAAGAAATATTTGGTAGTTTTACTTGATAATGTAAATGATTAATAATCATAAAATATCAAATTTTGTGTTGATTGACATGAGCTAACTGAATTGTTTTCCTAGGTCATTACTTCCCTCTACTTGTCAAGCACATACACACACAAAAACTTTTAAATAAGTAAATAGTAGTATATACAGTAGTAAGTATTTTGTCAATTTTATTTAAAATGTAATGAAACACGCAATCCTTATTTAACAAGCTCCTTTAACTAACAATAACTCTGTAGCTGCTGTTAAGTTACTGATCCATGTGTCTAATGCCCGCTACAATGCCCTGTGTATCAGTGCCTTTAAACTAGTTCCCAGCAGTGTTCATAGCAACTAATTTAAGCTTGTGGAAAGTGTGTACTTAATGACCACAGCTGGAAGCAGCACCACCTGCTATTTTAGTCTGACAGCCTTTCTTATCTCCAGCAACAGGTGACTGACCACAGCTACCCCAGAGAAAATGTGCAGGGGCTGAACTAGACAGCTGACAAAGCAAACTCCCTGGGTAGCATATCAGCTTGCAGTCAGTTAATTTGGAAACATGCGATTCTAATTCAAGATAAAACGGTTCACTAACTTTAGCTCAATACTCTTACAGCGGGATGGAGCACAAATAGCTAACCATACTTGTCTAGCGTGAGTTCAAGTTGCTAACAAACATTAGCAGAGCAGGGGGAGTTAGCCACCCTGTTAACCTCACAGCTATCCAGCTGTGTTCACCAGCGCATCACCACCAGAAAACAGCAATAAACAGCAACAGTCAAAAACACCCAACAACACTGACAACCGGTCGTGTAGTTAATCTCTGATATGACACGAAACTGACCGAGTTAATTGAATTAAGTTAACGTAAGGCAACAGGTGACACGACGTTGGCAAGGCTCTTACGTTAACCGGTTTTCTGTCAACTGGTAACTGCTAGCTAGGTAGCTAACATGTCAGTTGACTTAACGGTTAGAACGTTAGCCAGTAACTTAGACCACACCGGTTGCTGCTAGGTAACCGTAAATTAACTTAGCGTTAGCTGTTCCGTGTTAGTGAAGTTAAACTATCACTAAAATGAGCAGTCAGTGTAACACGGGTGTTGACTAACGTTACATTAGACTCCTACCAAACAAGCGGTTAATGAGTTTCACAAAAAGTGACACCAGCGGTAAGCTAGGAAGATTAACGTTACCTGGTCTTGTATCTTCAATACAGCCATATTCCCGGTGCAAAGCCTAAAAGGAGGCAGTAACTCGCCCGGGAGTTACTGTAAATTAACCGGGGAGAACTGGGTGAGGACAGACTCTCCGGAGCGGAGTCAAACGGTGCAGCTTCCCCCCTCTTCCTTCCTGCCATGGACAAACTCAACACATCATGGGACAGAGATGACAAAACGGGAAAGTTGGGACCGAAACCCAGCAGTCATCAAACTGCATAAACATAATGCCGGCCAACACTACCGACAGCTCACACACCCAGTGACTGGCTGCAGGGACAGACCACTCAGCGGCAATAATGGTAAGTTCTTACGTTTCACATTTTAATGGACATTTGAACACTACTACCTGTAACGTTAATGCTCTAATTTAAATGTGTCTGTCGTACTTTGCTGTACCTTCATCATTTTATTTCCCACAACGTCAAATGTCTTTACAAAGCGGACAGAAACTCTACGACTCACATATCCATAATGATTCTTCCATTTTTGTGTGCCAATTTTTGAGTCTCCATTAAATATTTATTCTTACTTACGTTAATATTTATTCTTACTTACGTTATAAGGAAGAGTGCAATTCAAGAGGTGTGACAGGTACACTTCCTGCATGTACAATGTCATAATGATAAAGGTGTGTCATACAATCCCAAGAACAGTTGCAAATGCTGACTTGGGATACCTGGATTTGATAATTAAATAATGTTTAATAGGCTACAAGCCTATTGTGTTTCATTGGAGTACAGCCAGGCTGTACTGTACTGCAGTTTACATCAGTTATTGGTAGTATCTATTTGGTGTTGCCATGACTAAAAAGCTAATTTCCAAACTGATGATTTATAGAAAGAAATACACAAGAAAACCAATCTGACTTTGAATCAGAGTCTTGAGTTTGTTTTTTATTCAAAGTTAAATCTACAAAATTGTAAATGAATACAAAGATAAACAATAAACATCAACATGGACTGAGTTCCTCCTCTCGTAAATACACCGCTGGACTGTTATCTCACACTCTGTATTTTACTGCTCAGAATCCGATCATCACAGCAGCTTTTGATGCATTTATGACACCTGTAGGACTTTAGGTGGTATTTAAACTGATGATGTGACATTCAGACCCTTTAGTCCATGGAATCTTCTATGCTGTTTCAGACGGGAATTATTAGAAAACTGTTTGCCACATATATCACATTTGTTTCTCTCTGTGTGGCTTTGAAGGTGCTGGATTAAACTCCCTGTGGACTCTAAATGTTCTCCACATATTCCGCAAATTTTATCCACTGTGTGCGTTTGCACGTGTGCCTTCAGCGTGTACATGTAATGGAAAGTCTTTCCACAGGCTTTACAACAATGAGGACCTGTGGGATTCTGACTGACGGTTAGTTTTGTTGATTTCCTTATATTTGTATTAAAGGTGGGTGAAGATCGTTTCACACGCTTTTTCCTCTTTGAACTGGGTGCCTGTAAACTAGAACAAGGTGTATGGTTCTTCTTCCACTCCTCAATCTCGTCTTCAGTGGCGTGCTGAGGTTCCCAAGTTTCCAGAGTTGAAGAATTAGAAAGACGGCGTTTCTTGCTGCGTTCCACGCTGTTTATTTCACTAAGATCTTGAATATAATTGTCCACACAGACAACAGTGAATGCAGAGTCTTCGGCGTGATCTTCCTCCATACTTTGTTCTCCCATTTCACTGTTACTTTTTTGTATTTGCTCGCCCTTGGTCTGCAGTTGCCCTGAGTTCTGCAACTCAGGAGGACTCGCTGAGGACAAAGGGGAAACAAAGTCTATTCAGTTGTTTGCGTCACACGTTTTTACATGCAGTGAAAGTAAACCTCTGCATACCAGACCTTGTCTCCATATTTCTTCTTGCTCTTCTTTAATTTGAAGCAGCAGTGAGGTCTGTGGGTCCTCCTGGTCCACACTGCCAAGCTCCTGACACCAAGGTTCAGGACTCAGGGGAACCTCCTCCTCAAAGGCAGAGACAGAGGGTGCGGATCCATCTCCTTGAGAGAGCAATGTATTGATGACTGATAGACTGCCAGTTATCTGTTTCCACATTTTAACACTTTTCACAGCAGTTTTAAGCAGAAAAAGAGAACACATTGTATATAATGATCCTATGTCTGAAAGTTCCTCAGTGTAAGTAAAAACCCAATGAGTCTTTTTGACATTCAAAACAATAAGAAAATTCAGATTTTAAAAAAAAAAAGCCCTATTTTGTAGTCAAAAGGGTTGCTTCATTTATTCTGACACTGAATGCACCATTGTTTATGTAAAGCCATGTATTTCGAATAAGAGATGTTCTTGCATAATTGTGTAGAGATGAGATGTGCATAGTTATGCAGGTGCTGCATTTGCTTTTGTTTTTTTGTACTTGCAATGAATACTAACAATTCATTATAACTGTTCACAGCATCATTCTGAAATTCAAAAGGCAAACAATTCAACTGGGGGGCATCAGACATACTGTAAACTAACCTGCGTCATGGCTTTGCTGCAGTATTGTATAACCTGTAAAGACATAGTAGTTAATAATTGTTTGTGAAACCTAATGTTACCATTATTATTAGCGATGGCACTATTACACAGCAGTTATCTAAAGCAAATCTGAAACAACAAAATAAAGGAATGGTAAAGTAACGGCAGAGTCATGAGAAACGCCAATAAATTGTACATACGGTGTTGTTTAGATATGTGCCGCTCAAAGTTGCATTTTCGATAAATGATCTTTCTGCAATATGGACAGTGCCAGTGACTTCTGCCCTGGATCCTGTCTTTGCACGTACATGGTACAACAAATTTCACTGAAAAAGAAAAGATAACCTTTAAGAACATTGTTTTAGCACACTTCAGTGCAGTACAAATCATCAACTAGCAGAATTGAAAATTGCTTGACTAAAGTAATCCGTTATATTGAACAAAGTATCATCATATTTTCTTATTGATGTTAATAAAACCTACCAGTGCCATTCTCAGTAAAATGAACAGCAAACAGATAATGTTTTCTGATCAAGTGGGTCTCAGTGGCTTCAGTACTCTTGAGGCAGTAGGGACAGTCGCCATTGGTTGCGGACTTTAGGAGGTCAGTGCGTGAGGTGAAGACACACTGTAACTCTGCAATATATAAAGAGAACTACTTTACTTTACAAAATAATACGGTATTGACTGAAATGCTCATTTCCCTAATAATAAATATTGTAATGTTTTTAATTTACAATGTAATGACTAACCCAAACACACTAGAGTGTGTTTTTAACTGATTATCAAACAGTCTTAATTTAATACTGTATGATCTGCATAAACAAACATCAGCAAGAAGACATATTAGGAGGATATTTCTATAGTAGTTATAGTTATTCTTAATGCCTGCCACATGGTCAGATTTGGTCAGACTGCCTTTGAAATCCGACAAGGAGGCAGTGGAAACACTACCACTGTCGCACACCGGGGGCCGCTACAATCAACACAAAATGAAAGTTCCCTGTAGCTGCTTTAACCCATCACACTAGAGCGATGAAAGGTGGATACTGGAATCCATGTTGGAAGTTCACAATCATCCCTGGCAAGACTTCTATGATTTCATTGTTACAAATTAATAATCACAGAGGAGCGCAATTAATTGATTTAACTTAAGAGCAGAATGTACTGTTAAGACTTAAGTCCTACCACTGGAATGGCAGGGGGTTTCTCTGGCCTTGCAGGTAGGACTTGAATCTGGTGCCGGTGGGCTAATGGCAGTAGTGGTACTTTTGGTGGCATGACCTGCTGCAAAGAAGAACACAACAAGTTGGAACTAAGGACTGAGAGCATGAATGTATCGTGAGAAATAAAAAATAAATACAATTTTATTATTTATTATATTAACACCAGGTTATTACAAGCAAGCCACAATTTGGGAACACAAATGCTGTGTCTGACATTGGAGAGCTAATAAACAGAGTGACTATGATATGTCATGGCATGTCAATTTGTTATTGACTCTTGCTGGCAGCTGTCACCTTTGTGACACATTGTGTTTGCGTTTTTTATGACATGTCAGTATGTGACGCTGGCAGCTGCCAGAGTTTGAACATTTGGTTGCAAGCATCTGGAGTCCTTCCTAACACGGACAAAAACATGCCTTCAAACATTCATATTAATGAATGAATCAGTGGTATAACACATTTTGTCCTAGATATTATACATGTAAATTGCTTTTTTGGATATTTTGACCTGTCATAGTAGGAAAAGGCGCAGTGAGATAGCATGCACAATACCCGGACCCTGAAACTGAAGCAGCTAAATGGAATTCAGCCATCATTCTTTATTTACACCTACACCTTAACTCAGTGACATACTGTACGCCAAATGTGTCATCATTAAATCTAGCAGGAGTGACATTTTTCTGTCTTTAGAGTTTGGTAGGCAACATCATATTCATACCACATTTTTCAACTATTGTCTTTTCATTGACACATACCCATATAATAGGTGCACAGATTGACAACGCTAATGTCAGGAAGCGGTGTGGAAAATCACAGTGATTTGTTGAGTCATCGGCCTGCAGCTGGGCCTTCACCACACCACAGGTGATGAGCTCGCAACTTCTGTTTGACTACACAGTTCAAATGGTTGCCAAGGCGAAATGAGATGAGAGATTATTCACCAATTTACAGTTAAACCTAAAAGTATTCTCAGTAACTTGCTTCAGTTTTCAATGATGTGACTGTTTGTGTAGTATAATGGTTTTTGGTTTTTTTTTTACATTTGTGCATGATCCTGTCAAATGTAAAACTGAAAATAAAGGAAAATGCTGAGTTGTGTTTAAAGTGGCTTTTGGTATGCCACTGTTGTTGCAGTCCTTTGTACAGTAATACCGCTGCTGACTGTTAATATGCAGTTATTGTTCTACTGACATATGACGCTCGTTACCAGCTGCACTGTTGAAGCGAAACCAGCGGTGAGAGCTGTTGTGTGGTCTACAGCCAGCCTACCCTGTCGGACTTGCATTATGAATAACAAGAATCCTAACGCTGTCTGTGTGTATTTTATGTGTACTGGATTCTTTTTGCGACGTTAGTAGCCGTTCCAGTAACTTAATTAGATCCAGCAACATGGACAACTAGCGGGGTAAGATGTCTAACACGTAAACACACTGTGGCATATCAACTGTAACAGATCCCATCTCTCTTTGGTTTGTATATCTCATGTTTATCTACTATTTTGTGAGTTAACACATATCCACTAGTTGATATAAACTAAAGATCCACTACCTCAGTAATAGAGGTGTCAGAAAATATGGAATAATACTCAATCAAAAATTGTGATGCTGTATCAATGTATATACTGTCAATGGTTTAAACCCCCAACCACTAGACAGCAGGGCTGTAAACATTAACTGAGGGCTGTGAAGTTGTATGTGAGGTAGTGATACATTCAAAGGTAGATCCCACTGTTCTGGCTGCATAAAAAGTAAGTAAAAGTACAGATTTCATTCATATGGTGGTGTGTTCTTTATACTTTAGAAAATTACTAAAATTATAACCTAGATTATTAAAAAATGCAATATATCACCTAGCTTACAGTATCGCGATATATTGAAATATAACCCCTGTATCCTGATCCGTATATATATCGCCAGATTCTAACCAACACACAGCCCTACTCAGTTATAACATTATAAGTTCTTAAACTACACTTAAACGTTTCCGCTGTCAGCACTTTAACAGATTTAATATAACTTATTTGGCGTTAGGAACAAGCTAATATAATGTTATGAAGCAACCACCTAACGTTATTTCATAATGTTTGAAACTAGCTAACTGACACCTAACAGATAACCTATTAGCCACATTGTTTGAGCCTAAACGGTTAGACATAATGAAAAGAGGTGAGGTTATTGTGCTATCTATCATTGACAGGCTATATGTTATTACTAGCGGGGTGAAAGAGGACGACTGCGCCCGCCCGCAGAGCGCTGCTGGTGGGATGGACCAACCTTGTGTCCCTGGTAGCTTGGCTTTGAGGATAATGTCTAGCACTGAGCGATGGCGGTTGTTTTCTTCCTTCAGCCGGGAAGCCTGCTTCTCGTAGTCCGTCATTGTTTTTTCAATAGCGCCTAATATTTCAGAGGCAGCAGCGTGCAGCCGCTCGGAGACAAACATTTTTAGTTCTTCGATTTGACCCATATTTCCACCATTTACACTCCACCCGGAACTGTATGCGTGGACACGATGGGAAACCATGGAAGTGAGCCACTCGGAATGAAAAGGACATTTCCGCGTGTTCCTTTCAAAGTAAAAGCCCTTGGATGAACGTCACAGTTTACTTACTAACAACAGCAACAACAATAACATCAAATTCTGGGAAACACAGGTGACAAATTCAATTCAGTTCAGGCGGCATGAGGAAACTGGATAGATGAAAAACGATTCACTCACTTTTTCATAGTTTTTTTTATTTAAGAAATTCCATATTTGTAAGTATTTTATGTCATTAGAAAAGATCATGGAATTATTTAAGGTTGGCATAGAGTTCTCTATGATTTGCCATTTTCTTAAAAAAAAACAACACAAACAATCACGCACGCTTAGAACCAATACAGAATACAGTACTATTCATCTTAAATGGATTCAACTATGGATACTTTTGTGGTTATAAGCTTATCATTATTAACTATGATCCAAAATCTGCCCAGTGTGTATAAGCTTTCTTCATGTAGGCTATGATGCATTGGTATATTTGAAGTGAAATGTGAACCAAAATAATTAAAAAAGGTACCACAGTGCACAAACTTCAACATGTCCTCAGGCTGTTTTGGCACGTTCCTGTTTTCCGGAGGGTATCTGAGAGAACCAATTTCTGCATGACAAGGACGTAGGGTCGCAGGTATATCCAAACTGACAGCAGTGCTTACCATCTGCACAGCACTGGCCCTGAATCAGAACAAGTCTTGGTGTTAGAAAAAATACAGTACTGACTGACAAATTACTGCAAGCACTTCATTCATAGGTTCACAGTCAGAACAAGGACGTTCAAACCGATGTCAGCTGCAAAATCCTTACCAGCGGGTAGGGACAGCAGCTCCATTGGCCTGTAGATCCTTTGCAGCAGGTTGTCCCTTGGGAGCAGAAAAATCTGGAATTACAGCGAATGACTCCGGGCTCACGGACGCCCCTGCTGGCTTCTGTTAGAGCCATCATTGGTGTCTGCAACAGGTAAACGCAAAGTGACCGTTACACCCTGACTGCTAACCAAATAGTTAATTATTCATATATGTTTAGTAAATAAAACTCTCTTTGCACAGCCAACAATACTCAAGTGCTGGTAAGTATGCAGTTAAAAATCTAAATGATCCACTGCACACTGGAATGACTTCACTGGGATTTATTAGCAGCGATTGTATGCATTAATAACCCCATCGCCTATACTGAGAAACTGATTGAGATAATAGGTCGTCAGGGCCTTTGAAACTTCATTTGAATGGATGGTCATTTGGGTAACTAAGGCACACCCTACCTCCTGTACGCTTTTTTTGTCTTCTGGAGCTGAAATGAGAGAGGCAGGGACTGAAGACGGAGCTTTTTGGGGGGTGAAGGGATATCTCAGGTCCTGCCTCACACAGTGCGTGTACGTGTAGTCACAGTCGTAGCCATATGGACAACAGTGGTATCCATCCAGACAACACCTGCCCTACAAGGCACACATTTCATATGTAACAGTCAGTACAGAGTAATACTAGTCGAATTGGAAGCTCTAGGTTAGTGTCAGCAAGAGATAAAAGGAACTTCATTCCAGTCATGTGTCTTAATGCAAAAGTCAACTCACAGGAGAGTACGGGCAACAGAACCAGGCTCCTCTTGGGTGTCTGCAGCAGGTTGTGGCATCGGGACAGACGTAATAGTTGTCACAATGTACAACTGAACTCTTTTGGTCTAGGACATGGTTGCTCTCAACCTCCTGAGGGGGAGACACAGGAGTCCTCGGCTCCTCTGCCGCCTCCTTCTTCACCATGGGTGTGTTCATCCACGGCTGGTTTTCTTTCTCACACAGCTGGGTGGCCAGGTTACAGCTAAATCCTGAAGGGCAGCAGTGGGCCAGGTCAGGGCAACACACAGCCTAAAGACACATAAAGACAGACACGTAGAGGGATTAAGGAAGAAATATTAATTCCAATCTTCCAGACCCAAATGTTAACCTTAATAACCACAGGTCATGTGACTTGACACATGACTTACCTTTGGATATGGACAGCAGCTATATCCATGCCTAGTCGCACAGCAGGTTTCAAAGTCAGAGCAGACCTTACCATCAGGACATGTGATGGAGCAGGATGCAAACTCCCACACAACCACTCCCACTAACATCAACAGAGTTATCCTCAACATCTGCAGAAGAGAATATTAATGTTTGTATCAGCTAAATGTGATACACGATTCACACTCTTTTCAGTTCAGATTTTGAGCATTGAATGTGAAACTTCACATCAGTTTGTCCATTTGGTTGCTGTAAGTTTCAGTTTCACTTTAACTTGTAGGCAAGATCCTCCTTACACTTAAAACAACCTCACACAACAGTAATAATGAAGTTTATAAAACACTATACTCACAGCTACGCCAAGAAAGGATTGCAGATGCAGATGTTGTGTTTAATTTACCTTCTCTGCAGCTTCCCGTCATACGTCTCACACTTCCTCTGAAACAAACCAGAGATTCACTGCTCTTTATATGGCAGGTTGGACCCTCCCACTAGGCAAAATATGTAGACTAGACTTTATATCCCAGCCGTGTCCTGTGACTGTCCAATGTCTTTCAGGAACTAGTTAGTGCTTGTTAACAATGCTTTTATTTTAAGAGGACGGGTTGAGTCATCACTCACCTTAAAGGTTAAACATGAAAGACTTTACAAGCTCACAGTAACCTTTGATACCATTACACCACTTCAATCACAAGATCTGCCTGTAAAACCTCATTTAAAATTAAGAAGTTAAGAAGAAACTTTAGTCAAATGTGATTTTTTAAACCCCACAGTAGGTGATAGAGCAAGAAAAGCAAAGTGTTTTATGAATTAAATAGATACAAACGTGGAATTTACTCAAATACTGAATTTTTTACTCCACATTTCTAGTTACTTTGCAGATTTTACATTAAAAATTGTTTAAAAAATTGGCTCAATTTGACCCAGCTACAACATTAAAATGCTGCCCACATTAACGCAAAAGAAATATAACACTACATAATGATAATTAGCACCCTGAGTGCATTTACTTTTTAATATATTAAGTACATTTTGAAGATGACGCAAGAATTTCACTTGCAAGTATTTTTATATTAATCCTTTACTTTTAATACCCGAGCTGTAATGGTGAGAAGAAAACAAAATGGGACATGTGGAATCATGTGGGTTGGGTATCTTGTGTTTTTTTTTACAGTACTGCTGACCTGAATTTAAGTTTTAGGGAAGTGAGAGTGCAGAGCAACATCTATAGCGGTTTCATATAAAAACAAGGCAGTGTGACAATGAGCAAATCCAGCGGGCGAGTGTAATCGGACCGTATGAATGCATGGTTTGAAACAAAAGTCTCGCAATAGAAGTTGTAACAAAGCAACAGCAAAATAAAGGCTAAAACAATACTTTATTAATGAATTCCCATTGTTTGTACATTTACACTGCAGTGTAACAATTTAGAACAAATATCCCTTGTATAAATGTTGACTGTGTAGCTCACATTTCTTATCATAAGTCCAACTTCAATATGAGGCTGGCGAGACATCGGGTCTACATGCATGACGCAGGCACTAGCATAACAGCCTCATCTAGCAACTAGAAACGGTAAGATGTCTGGTTTGAAACGCAGGAAGTTAACTCCGAGAGGGCCTGCACACTGGAGGTGAAAGTGCCGGTCACACTTAAATCTCCAAGATGAAGGCAGGAAAAAAATATGTGGAATTCACGTCAGTCCTGTTGTTGAGTGTAACTCGAGGAACAATTATCTACAAAAAAGCATGGTGATAAGAATCAACGGAAGATATGTACCAGTAGTTGCCACTGAGAGGGATGGGCGCCTCCCCTCCATTTCACTTCACTCACAGAACCCCAGCATTGCAAGTCTGTAGGTCTCATGGTCAAGCGTGATGACCAGAGCTGGATGGGAGAAGTTTTTAGAATTCAAAAGGCAAAAATAACACTACTATTGAACTGTCAGGAGGATGAGAGAACCGTAAAGCTACGGTTGTTAGTCGAGCTCCGTGTCTGACTGAGATGCTGCCTTCTTTTTCTTTTTTCTCCCATGTTTCTTGTGCTTCTTTTTCCTCTTCTTCTTGGATTTGTCCTGTGGACATAAAACATTTGACGTTTTATCTGAGTGTTTTCTCTTAAATCAATCACTTGTTTTACAGTTGGATTAAACATTTCTCACTGTGATTTTCTCCTTTTCCTCGCTACTTCTCTTTTTCTTCTTGGCTTCTGCCTATGGGAGGTTAGAGATTAAATGAGACAAAGGAAAAGAGGGAAGTATTGAGCTATATCCAACAGTAAAAAGCCCATTTTATGCAACGTTCTTGTTACACAATTAGGGAGTTTCTACAGCGAGGTTTACAACAGAGTTCTACACCATACCGAGTTCATAAGGCTATCCGTTTCTGAGTCAATCTGTGGAAACCCTTTCACTTATGGTTTTGCATTGTTTTAGGAAAATGGACAAAAACCTGAATTTGAAATCCCAATATTGTTGATGAAAAAGGACACCCAAAAGACAAGCCCAAGTGATGACAACTGACTTACTGCAGGATACTACATCTTTCTCTGCGCTGTAGCACTGCTAACAGTGTGGGAGCCACATAAGTGTACACTTTCGGTGCTCAGCTGACGTGAGAGGATGGCAGATAAATCACAATGATAATAATGTTGCTGGAGAGGAAAAACGGGGTGTTTGCTTTTAAAGCTCAGTAAAATAAGTCAATGTTAAACCATTGAAGTGAGGGCTACATTTTTTAGATGTAGGTGGTTCACATTGTACAATACATTTTTCCTAATTGGTAACTTTACCACCTTGGCCAGTCACTCACTCTTTCCCATTCCCTCAGGTACAGTGTGCAGTCTGCCTCACATGATGCTTAGAGGGACAGGAGTTGAACTAGTAGTAGCTGTCAATCTAAATGAGCCAACCAGGGGTCACAACACCCTTTCAGATTTAGGTTGAATGCCGATCAAACCCTGCCAGCCTCTGGCAAATAGGAGTATTTAAATACATTAACTTCATAAAATTATACTGTCACTTTAATATCAATTATCAATTATTATGATATGAAGAGTGACAGACAGAAAGCTTGCAGTATGTGAGTGAGCGTA